TTGGGGCTAATAGTATTAGATAAAGGGAAGGAGCATTACAAAAGGCCTTCTCCATGTCAGGGCTGCCCCAAAGTCTGCACCTTGGTATCTATATGGGAGCCTTGCCAGGAGTGCATGTAGTCCTTGATGCTCATAGAAATGACCAGCAGCAGAAAACCTATGAGAAAACTACTTGCTACCTGAAATCAAACTTAGGAACTGCCTCAAACAGCCTCCCCAACTTCACCCTGTGACAAATTCAGTGGTAGAAAGAAATCCTGGGCTTAATGAGAGCAAAGAGAGGTCAATGCCAGTCTTGGAAGCATCTTTTTCCTGCCGCTACACAGAGCTCCTAAAAAAAGACTTGAGAAAGACTGGATGACTGATTTCTAAACAATGCCCACGAACGACTGCCTAAATCCAAAGCAATTGGAAAAAAACAATTGAAAATCTCACCAGAAATTGAATAAGCTATATGACAGAGTTATGCAATTCTAAATAGAGCAATAGCTCATAAAATTAATAATCCATTACATTTAAATAGCTAGAGGCCTTGTCAGTCTCTGGCTCTTGCAGTTACACTCACTGGTTTTTTTTAAGAGTAAATTGATTGCCAGCACTTGAAAATCACACATTTCATAGTAAGATTCAGATGTCCACCTTCTATTTAAAAATCCCAGTGGTGAGTCAGTCTTCTCACTGACAAGCATGGGAGAACCAGGTATTCTGCAGGATGTAGCTCTGAGTCCTACAATTCATGAAGGCCCACACAGCCCCACTGGTTCTGAGCCACAGAGGACTAGGCTGTGTTGCCTTTTGTCATTGTGCTTAAGTCTGGTTCAGAGTTTAAATCATCCTGTGTACTGTGCTTAACAGGGTCAGAAAACAGGTAAATTCATTTGAGAAAAGTAAATCCATCAAATATGCTTAAATCTTTTTAAGGTAATTCAATAATAGCCATTCATTTTAAATATTTGACCTAGGGCACAAATGTATCTGTACCAAACACACACACACAATATATATATATATATATATATATATGTATAAATCCAAGGTTATTCATTGTAGCAGTATTTGAAATAGCAAAACACTGGAAGCTGCTTAAATGTCCATCAGTAGGAAACTGGCTAAATAAATTATGGAATATCTACACAATAGAATACTGAGCAACTGTTTTTAAAGGGAACAGAGAATAAAGTAGATCTATTATGTGCCACTCAGTACATCCTCCAAAGAAGTATTTTAAGGAACAAAGGGAAAGAAAAAAGAGAAATTTGAAGGGCAACATGTGTGATGTGATCTCATTCATGTAAAAAAAGGAAAAATTTAAGGAGAAAATATGTGTAAGTGCAAGGGAAACATCTGGAAGGATACACAAGAAACCATTTGTGAAGCTGTATGAATATCAAGTAGAAGAATTACTTTTTCTCTTTCACATTATAACTTTCTGTCCCTTTGTTATGCCTGTGTTATTCTTAGCATTTAAAGGTAGTTATTTTAATGAGTAAAACAAAAGTACACTGGTGTTATAAGCAAACCTCCCACTCAGAAAAAAGTAATTTCTATGAAAACTATTATTCCTCAACAACATTGTTGTTAGATACCATCAAGTTGACTATAACTCATAGTTATTTTATGAACAGCAGATATAAATTTTGCCCTATCCTGTGCCATCCTCATGATCTCTGCCATGTTCAAGCCAGCCATCTAGAAAAATGTAAAGTAGCTATACCCTGACATCAGGAACTCCAGTGACTTAGTGTAAAAAATGTGTTGGCACTGCCAGTACAAAGGTACATGGCTCGAATCCATCAACTGTTCCATGGGAGAAAGATGGCAATCTCTTCCTATGTGATTTACTGCCTCTGAAAACTTGACAGTATAAAACAATGACAACTGATATCAGGTCAAGATGTCATGACTCATTCTATTTTCATACATGGAAACGAAAATGCCCTCCTTACCTAATGATAAATATTTATTAAACTTTACAAAAAGCACCCAACACGTGCCAGTACTTAGGAAATGTGTATTCATTCAATAATTAGTTGTTATTGTCACCTTTATTGTCAGCTTCTCTGTTTGACTGTTACCCCTATGCCACACCAGCCCTCTCACACAGTCTGAACTGCATCAATGATACGAGTCAATTACCAAACCAAGATGGATTTTGCATAAGACAGTACTTTAAACTCCATTCCAGGTGACTCCCCTTCTGGTCTATAGTCAGGCCTTAAGAAAGTGGAAGTGTAGTCCTCTCAAGATGGGCAGGTGGTGCCACCTCCATACAAAACCACTCCCGTTGCCTGCTAAAGCTCCCATTTCAAAATGATACTCCTACATATCTACAATTCCCTTCTCCAGCCAGCTTCTCCAACAGACCAGTTGGATTTGGAGGTGGAAGAGGAGCAAGAGACTTCCATTTTTTTGCATTCTTGTTACTTTAGCCTATGTTCCTAGAGCTCTCCCAAGATAAACTGTGCTGGAAGTCAAATATTGATTCTACCCATACAATGGAGTCACTGGGTCATTGGGCAATTCAAACAACAAATGCAAGTTCAGATGTTAATTGAAAAGTTGGGATGTTTGAGTCCACCCAGAAGCGCCTTAGAAAGAGTAAGCACAGTTGCTGTAGCTCACAGTGTTTCCATGAGTCCACTCAACAACAGCTGACTAAGTGCTTACCCCTACAACAGGGAATCATGGATATCCACCATGTTTCCAGGCCAGAATCAACTATTCCTAGAAACTTTTGCTCCCTGGGTCTGGTGTACCTAACCCAATCTCTGTGAATGAGGTGAAGAGAGATCAAATATGCCCTGAAGGTCTGCTCCTGTCAATCAAGCCTGAGAACTCCTCTTCCAGCTCTCCTTGCACCTCCCCTCAGCCTCACATACACAGGTACAGGGCGCTGGGATGAGCTCCCACAGTGCATTAGCTTTGAACAGGGAAGAAGGAAAGGCTTGTGACGCCATCCAGCCTCTGCTGTTAATAATGTATGAGTCCCAGACTGAGGGGAACCAGTGAGAGTCCGTTTTCCGCGGACAAAGGGAAAATTAGACTTAAGCTCTCTTATCAGGATGTGCTGAGTACTGGGGATGAAATGGGGGCCACAGCTGGACCTTCTCGACTGAAGAATAGAGTATAAATCCAGTGCATGCCTGTTACATAACTTGCTACCCACAAACCCCCTCTTGAGTGTTGAAATCCTTTTTTTAGCTGCTCAGCTGACTTACACATATATTCAATAAGCCTTTAGCAAATATGAATTCTATTAAAACGGTGATCCCCACAACTAGATTTCACGGCCCAGAATTCTCTCTCCTCAAATTGCAAGGATCAACCCAGGATTGCCAAGTTTGTGGCTTTACCAGCAAAGAACATGTTTCTAAGCCTATTCATCTACTGGCACCATTTTTTCTTAAAGACTGAAACTCATATTTTAAAAAAAAGAAGTCACAAAAGCTTATTTGAAATCAAGTATATTTTTTAATCTGTTCAATTAGATGGCTTGAAATTTATAAAATTCATGATCTTCTCTTTATGCTTCTTATTCTTGGCCCTTCTTAAACTGGTGAAATGATATCAGGAACCAGTATCCATTTTCAGTCTGGCATTTGAAGGCCACTAGGTTAAGGCAATTCAGATGCTGGCACTTGGGCCTGTTGAAGCTTTTCTACGGTGGAGCATTAACCATCTAGACATACTTATTCACCCAGGAATCCAGGAGGGAGATTATTTCAGCCCAGTTGGCAAAATGGAAACTGAAGACTTGGAGTCAGAATTTATGGCCAATAAGAACTTTGTTCATCATCCAACATTCTCAGTTTGCAGATGAAGAATCTGGCCTGTGGCAGCAAGAATCATTATTATATGGTGGCAATAATGACTGTGTCTGGCAGTTTACAGCTTATGAAGTGATTTTTACAATCAACAAGTATTTATTCAATTAGGATGGAGGAAGGCCAGGCCTAGGGACATGGTGGCTGCAGAAGATCTGAGTATTCCTAAGTTCTCTGTATTCTACCACTGGTTGGGGATCCTCTAAACTCTTTGCTATCACCTCTCACCTTATAAAATGGTATGAGTATTCTTAGAGTAAAGAGATCCAGAGACAACTTCCTGAGCAAGGATCTGGTAAAACCTAAGGGCGAGAGTCAAGATCTTAAGCCCTGGTTGTCCGTCACCATGAAGACTAGAGTTAGTTAGCCTCCTGCATCGTGAAGGATGGGGTAGACTTGCATTCAAAGAAGGGTAGTTCCTCCTCCAACCTCATCTGAGATCCTCACAGAGGTGGAATCCATGTGAACCACAGACCTCACCTTTAAGTAATCTCAGAACATGTACCCTTCTACTGTCGTATTTACAGACTCAGATTTTCTTAGAAAGGAAAGTCTGGGGAGCTCTGGTGGCCTAGTGGCAAGAAGCTGCTCTGCAATTCCAGAGGCACACAGTTCAAATCCACCACATGCTCTGCTGGAAAAGGAGGGACAATCTCCTCCTGTACCAGTCAGATCCGATTTGATGGTACACGCACACAAAATAATAAAATAAACTATAAAATAAAAAGAAAGGAAAGGAAAGTCTGTCTTGAGATTTTTGGAAAGCAAAAGCAAATAACTCAAAGCAGCTTCTTCTAAGACTTTCCACCAAAAAAAAAAAAAAAGAGAGAGAGAGAGAGAGAGACATGACCGAACAAATGTGGAAGGAGAGGCCAGAGAGCAGAGAAGTCTCTAGAGTCCTACAGGGGAGTGCAGAGCCTACAGGAAAGTCGGCCAGAGAAGATATTCTCACCCCTGGCCAAGGGAGGCGAAGTCGATAGAGAGGGCTGCATGGGCGCAGAGGCCATGCACCAGCAGGGGGCACCCGCGGCCACAGCTGCCTCTCCCGAACCAAGGGCCAACTCAGAGAGGGACTAGCTAGCTGTCCAGCCCAGGGGCGGGCGCAGCCAAGGAGGCGGCCCGACCCACAGTCACCTCCCCTGGGGTGCGGGGAATCCTACAAGGGCAGTCGGCGCCATGCAGAAGGCGGGGCTGCTTCCAAGTGTCTGTTCCCAAGCGTGGAGATCTTTGCGGATGGCCAGCTCCGGGATGTCCCGCCCGCACCCACTCGCGAATAAGGTGGCTTTAGTAACAGCCTCCACCGACGGGTGAGTGCCCGGCCAGAATCTCTGAGGCCTTGCAGTCTGGAGACTAAGACTCAACCCTTTCCCTTTCCAGTGGCCTCTGCCCTTAATCTTTCACAGGGGGAAAAAAAAAAGAACCACGTGTTTGTGTCTTGAAGCCCTTACCCTGGCCAATCCTCCTCGGAGCATGGGCCCCTCCTCTGCCAACCCTGCTGACACTACCACCTCTGGCAGAACTCCCTCACTCCATGCTGCCCCTCAGTCCAGTCTCCCAGGGCGCTGGGCCGCCCCAGCCCACCGGCCCCACCTAGAGTCTGGGAAGCCCAGAAATCCAAGAGAGCCCAGATTTCCAAAATCCTATTATGACAACATGTTCCAGGCACCCTGTTTGTGCAAGTGTCCCAGAGAGCTCCAGTTTATCTAGACAGAACACACGATCCAGAGTCCACATTTTCCATTAGGTCTATAAATGTTGGCCTGCTACCCAGCCTGTTTCTCACCCTTTGCACTGGTTTCTCATTCCCACTTGACTTTGCTAGGTGATCTTCGAAAATCTAAAATACAAATATATATAAATAATCCGAATAGATGATGATTGTAAAGTGAATCTTAATCCCAGGGGAATATTTTCTTTCTTTCTTTCTTTCTTTCTTTCTTTCTTTCTTTCTTTCTTTCTTTCTTTCTTTCTTTCTTTCTTTCTTTCTTTCTTTTTAACTAGAAGGCTGATCTTTCTTGTGCACTCAACAATGTAACTTAGAATTTGAGAATGATGGGAACTAGTAAGAAAGCTATTTGGGGACAGAGCTCTTTTGTATATGACCCTCAATCATGGTTATGACTATTTCTATACCCTCAGCTTAATTTTCTCTTCTGAGTCTATACAGAGTATGTGGCCTGTCATTCCTGGTGAAGGCTGTTGAAATAAACAACAGCAACCAAATAAAACTATTACTCTCAAGTTGATTGCAATTTATGGCAACCCATTGTGTTAGCTCCATAAGGTTTTCTTGGCTGTGTAATCTTTACAAAAGTAGATCACTAAGACTTTCTCCTTACATAGCCCTAAGTAAATCTGAATTGCTAACCTTTAGTGAGCTCTGGTGGCCTAGTGGCAAGTAGCTGCACTGCAATCTCAAACGCAATTCAAATCCACCAGTTGCTCCAATTCACCAGATGCTCCAATCCACCAGATGCTCCAGTCCACCAGATGCTCCAATCCACCAGATGCTCCATGGGAGAAGGATGGGCAATCTGCGATTACTGCCCCTGAAAACCCATCAGAGGTTCGGCTATGGTTTGGTTCAGTCTACAGTCCACAAAGCAACACAGGTTAATAATACAGTTCAGAGAACCTATGGGAGATGAGGTCAATTCCTGTGCACCAAATCTTAAAGCCAGTACAATAACTAACTAGTTCATTAACACCTATTCTGATCGTCCAACCGGTTTCCGAGGCCATAAATTGTACAGGAAGATTGGCCACGCAGCCATTGATGTACAAGTAAAGAAGTGTATAAAACAGACTAAATCATGTCCATCCGCATAGTAGTTACCAGGTAACGGTTATGCCATTAACGGTTTTATACGTAAGTAAAAATGCGTAGTTGTGACAAATGGAACGCTGAAATTCAGACTCAGGTACTCTGACCTTAACCATAATTCTCTCTATCTTCAGGATAGGCTTGGCCATCGCCCGACGCCTGGCCCAGGACGGGGCCCACGTGGTCGTCAGCAGTCGGAAGCAGCAGAACGTGGACCGAGCAGTGGCCACGCTGCAAGAGGAGGGGCTAAGCGTGACAGGCACCGTGTGCCACGTGGGAAAGGCTGAAGACCGGGAGCGACTGGTGGCCACGGTAAGTGGCAGGGATATGGGCAAAGGTGACACAGAAGGGAACCCCTGTGAGCCTCTTTCCTTGCTTTTCTGTAAGGTGTTGATGTGATCCAAACCAGCACTAGTAACTGAAAATAGTGGATTCTGCTACTCACAGAGATGCCAGAATATTTCAGTTGCATGCCTTTCTGTTATGTCCCTGTCCTAAAATCCCAGAACCACCACATCCCACAGAATCAAAAATCACTCTAATGGTTCAGACCTGTATCATCCCTTGAGATACACACAAAAACAGGTAAACCTACAGTAGTTTAGTCTAGCTGGGCAGATGAGAAAGGAAGAGGTAATTACAAAATATAAATGTCCCTACTCATGGATAAATAAATACCCTGTTCTCCAGATTAGGGGTCTACATGATGCAATGGTTGGTGTTTTGAAACCACCAGGCACTCTACCAAAGAAAAGATTTGGGAATCTGCTTCCATAAAGAACATAGCTTTGGAAACCCTATGGGACACTTCTACTCTGTCCTATGGGCTTGCTGTAAATAAAAATTAACAACAGTGAGTGGAGTTCTCCAGATTAGAGTCCACAAAACCTACAGGAGGCAAGCCACCTACTGTGTGCTGTGCACTGTGTTCTGAGCCCTGCCATGAGTTACTTCTAAGAACTAGGCAAAGCAGGGTCTATCCTTCCTCTTTGCTGAGATTGGCTTATTAGGTGGAGTCACTTTCCATGGTCCCACAGCCTCTAAGGAAAGAAATGTAATTCAGCCTACACTTAAATCCCTTCTCTTCTTTTTTTTTGGTTACCTACAGTCGACTAGCCATTTCCTTGTTATCCTAGGATCAGATCGTAAGTTCCCACTTGAACTTTAGTCTCAAAGACAGTATCTAAGTGACTGAGATGGTTCTTAAAACAAACAGCTTTCCAGTTTGGCATTTCCTTAGAAAGCTGAACACAGAAATTGCATATGACCCAGCAATTCCACTGCTTGGAATATACCCTGAGAAAATGAGAACTGAGACACAAATGGAGACTTGTACACCAACGTTCATAGCAGCGTTATTCACCATGGCAAGATCATGGAAACAGCCCAAATGTCCAACCACAATTGAATGGCTTCAGAAATTATGATACATTCACACAATGGAATAATACATGGCATTCAGAAGCAATGATGCTAAGTGAACTATGTCAGTCCCACAGGGACAAATACTGTATAAGACCATTATTGTATAATGTGTATGAGGATCTATGGAGAGAGGGGGGAGCAGAGGGGTGAGGGGGTGAGGATGGTCAGGGGAGGGGGAGTTAATCATAAGGTCACACAATTTGATGGGTGAGGGGGTAGTGGGTAAAGGAAGTGGAAAACATCCAGTGTGAAAAACAATGTATACGACCTTTGTAAGCTAATACACAATAAAAATTCGGTGGGTTTCGTTTTTTGTGTTTTTTTTTTTTTAAAAAAAAGCCTTCATATAAACAAAGAAATGTGGCTATCCAACAAAGGAAGCCCTGTTCCTGTTATCCTTGGGGCAAGTAATTAATTCTCCAAACTGAGAGGGGAAAGCTGCCCAACAGAGAAAAGTAGGGGATTATATTAGAAAATTAAAAGGTTGACAAAAATAATTTGGTTTCTTTTAGAAGAAGGCTTTTTAAAAATGTTTAAAGTAGGGCAATAGGGGATACACTATGGTATGGTAGACAGAATAAAGTTATTCTATTTTTAAGAAATCATTTAGAAGATGTTCAAATATGCACTGTAAAGAATCAAATGTGAGCCTATGAAAATCACCTTTCCACAGAATACTGAGCAGACCCTAAGATTGGGGCCTTGATCCCAAGGTGAAGAGAGTCATTTAGGAACCTGAGTCAGTTAATGACTAGCCAATCAGATGCATGTGACAATTTAGTATCACCACTCTGTCAGGAATTGATAGTTTACTGGCTAGGCCTCACTGGAACCACTTAAGCTTTCCCAGAGCACTAGAAGGGGTCTTGAGCTGGATCTTAAGGAGTAGTGGCATTGGAGGAGGGATGAGGGGTTCCAGATGACCCTCCCAGAGGAGCAGACAACCAAGGAAGAAATGGCTAAAGAGTGGAACCCCATTAGTCCTCAGCAGAGAGCACAGGCTCATGGGTACAGGTGGGTCTAAAGGGTAAGGGCTCTAGAGGCCTCCACAGTCTTCCCAAAAGCTTTATACTTCATTAGGAAGTAATGAAGATGTAAGGTTTTAAACACTATGAAAAATGGTTATGAAGGAAGAGAAATTTGGCACTGGTAGGAAAGATGGCATCCCTAGGTGGTGCAGTTAACATACTTAGCTGGTAACCAAAAGGCTGGACGTTCAGTGCCACCCAGAAACACTTTACAGGAAAGGCCTAGTGATCTCTTTGCTGAAAATTAGTTACTAAAATCAGTCACTGTGGAGCACACACAGTTCTACTCTAACACATGGGAGTCAGAATTTACTCTGAGAGGAAGGGTATATTTGAGTAGAGAAGACTGAGCCAAAGCTGTCAGCATAATAAAGGTCCAGAGCGGTGGGACCAGAACTAATGTGCGCAAAAACGTCTAATAGGAATCATCCAAGATTTCCCTCATGCAATATCAAGAAATGGGAAATAGAAGGAATGTTTCCAAGATGACTCTCCTATAGTTTGCATTGCCAATGTCAAGATGGAGATTAAAAGGATATTGTCACCAGTTTGGCATGTTCTACCTGTTGTCAGCAACACATCTCTCTAATGTACACCCCTCTGTATGACCACAATGAGGAAGGTTTTTGCCTTGATAAGTGGTTCTACTACTTGGTTGGCTCTTAATCCGAACCACAAAGCTGCTTAGGGTCATCGTGAACAGAAAGCAGATGAGCCATTTCTTCAGTTGATGATAAAACCAAAACCAGATCCACTGCATGCCGTTATGACTCGTGGTGGCCCCATGGGTTACAGAGTGGACTGTTCTATGTGGTCTAACAAGCAAGTCACTAGGCCTTCGATGCTGCTGGCTTAGCTCAACCACAATCCTTTACATAAGTAGACAACCTTTTGTACCACTCGTGATCCTCTTTTCAAAAAATATAATTATCAAAACAAACCAAACAACCCCAAATTACAATGAGTACAGTAGTCATTATACAAAGAGGAGAAAGAAAAAAAAACTACTAAGATACTGACAAGGTAATAGGAGCCTTTCTCATTAATCTTCTCTTGTTCCTTGTCTCTATTCATTCAAAACTCACCTTCTCCCCCTCTCCATGCTGACAGGCCTGGAAGAGACTGGGGAAGGTGCACAGTTGAAGGATAAAGCTCTGGGGCAATCTACCATCTCCTGTCCCCCTCACACATACAGCTTCATCTGTATCTTTCCTAGCCTGAAGTCTGTGAGCGAGGCTTATACAGAGCCCAGGCAGGTGACTTGGACTTGCTCAAAGACCATCAAATTCAGTGTTTTTAAAAAAAAAAAAAAAAGGTGCTACTACTGACTTTAAGGAATTGTATTATTTTAAATTTTGTTGAATGTGCGTGTTGATGGCTCAGGCTTTCTTTCAGCAGTGTAGAAACAACAGAGCTTAGCACCTAGTTAGCAAGAATAATTAGTTAAAATGGGAAGCTAGCAGATGGTGCACATTGTTAATAACACCCCTCTGTGCGCCAAATCATGAAGCAAATAGTTGATTGAGGGCCCTTGTAGTACCTCTTTCCCAAGGCATAAAAATTGCCCGTTCTGGGCGAATGCAAAATCTGGTTTCAGGGTGGCTTTGTACTGAAAACTCTTATTGGCAGTCTTTCTGGCTCTTCATTATTCCAGCAAGTACAAGCCTCCACCACCACCTATTTACAACTTTCTAAGGAGGTGAACTGCTGCCTTTGTTGACTTTCCCAGTTTAAATCTCAGTTCTACCTTCTATCTTCCATACTTTCAGGCAAAAAGATAAAGAGAATGAGAAAATGACCACATAAGTGGGTATAGGACTACTATAAACCTGGGCTGGTTGTCTTCCCAAGGAGCTCTGGTAGCCTAGTCGATGGAGGATAGTGCAGCCAACCAACCCACGTAAGTGGATGAAATCCACCAGGTGCTCCTCAGCAGAAAGGCAGTCTCCTCCCATGCTGTCTCCTCTCCTCCCCATTATAGCCTCACCTCTGAAAACTCACTGGATGCTCAGCGATGAGGTAGTTCAGACTCCACAGTAAGAGTTGGTATCTCGTTTAAGTTTGGTGTCTTCTCCTGCTGAAGCCAGGTTGCCAATGACCCTAAGTCCCCTCCAGAGAGCTCTTAAGAATTCATACGCAAGGACTGTTCTCCCTTCCTATCATTCAGACTACCTTCTGCCCAGACAACCCATAATGTGGTCTTCACCCTTTTCCCATACATCATTTCGAAACTTAGTTAAAACATGAAACAGTTTTAAACAAATGATGTAGTTTGCTATTATAGAAAAAGTTCAGCATTAGAAAGTAGGCAGCCAGGGCTCTAGCTTCATTTCTGATCCACTAACTAGCTTGGGTGCCTCAAGTACTCCCTTTCTCAACAACTGGATGAGCAGAACTCCTCTTAATTGACATTTACTGTCATTCTACACTATGTAACTTTGAGAAATTAACTTTGTTGAATCCTAATTTCATCACCTACACCAGGAGAACACTGGACTGGATTAGCTTATCTGAAAGGCTTCTTCTCCCAGTGGTAACTTCCTGTACATCTATTTTAACTGGTGTCTCCATTACACTAAGTGTGAGCGGACTGAGTTTGATGTAATGGTAACTCATCCAAGAAGAATTAGACACTAAGCACTTGGGGAAAGGGCTGAGACTCAGTAGGAAAGGGGAAGAGGATTAAAATACATTTTGAGCTAGAAGATGTGATGCTAAGTAAAGCCAGTCAGTCACAAAAATGGCGTGTATTATATGACCTTACTTATAGAAAAAAACAAGAAAAGGAATATGCATAGAGAACATAGTTTTTTAGTGGTTACCAGAGGCAGGAGAGAGGGGGATATCTGAGGTTAATGATAACGGAAATGTCACATTAATTAAAAGTAAGGTTGCACAACCTAGTATGAATAATTGTTCTCATAAAAATTTGAATTGGCAAAGATTGTATGATGTATTTACAGAAATGATTTTTTTTCCAAATAACTGCTGAGGCAATTTATATACAACCAAAAACCTCAAGAAATTTGATTTCTTGATTTCTATGTTTAGGGTCTTACTTACATATTGTTACATATCATCAAGTCATAACCAACTCATAGCTGACCTTCTAGCAAGTACACAGAAGGAGACTGCACATCTTTCTCCCATGGAGCAGCTGATAGATTCAAACTCACTGCCTAGTTGGCAGCACAACTCCCTACCTCGTCAGCCACGAGAGCTCCCACACTTACATGGGAAAACCCAGTGAATTGGCCTAATAACGTGTTTAGAGCTGCTATACTACCTCCTATTTTCTTTAAAAAAAGCTTACAAGCAGCCATCAAGAGACAATTGGTCTTTGTTAGCCTGTAGCAGCAGCAGAAAAAGTGTTAGAAATAGAAAGATAGTATGGAATAGGTGGCTAATTGCCTGCCTGAATAGCTATCCCCTTTGCCATTAGACCAGGACTGGAAAATTCCTTCCTGCCATTACTGAACATGTTTATAAAAGATTCCATAGAAGGATCCTGATCAAAAGGCAGGAAATGCAGAACAGAACTGCAGACTCTCATGGACTCCACACGTTACGGAGTTATGACGGTTTAATGAACATCTGAAATTACTGCTGTAAGGTAATCTTTAAACCAAAATTATCCCTTGGGATTAGGTTTTGGGTTTTGTTTTGGTTTTTTAATTCATTAACTTCTTTTAAAAACCAGCACAACACTGTTGTCAAGTCTGTAAATCAATTCCAATTCATAGCAACCTTCCATCAGGTTTCCAATCTTATGGAAAAAGATTGATTTCTATTTTCTCCCGTGGTGCATCTGGTGGATTCACACAACAGTCTTTAAGTTAGCAACCCAACCCATAATGCACTACACCACTAGAGCTCCTTTTAAAAAAAAAGCCAAAAAACAATAATTTAACTAGCAAGATGTCTGCCTATCTGAGATTGCAATGAATCTTCTGTGAAAAACAATGTATTCAAACTTTGAAAATAAATCAGTATAAATTTTTTAAAGAATATAAAACTACTTAATATGGCAATTAAGTTTTTTTTTTAAATAAAGACAATGTTGTTTTCAAATAAATGTGTGCACATCAGTAAAAAAAGAAAAAAGAACTATCTGTTGTGGTGGTGGTTTTTATATGCTGTTGTGTCACAACCAACTCATATTTGACCCTCCAGTGGGTTTTCAGAGGCTGAAATCGTATGGGAAAAGATATCCCATCTTTCTCCAAGAACTGTCTAGATGGAATGAAATTGACAGTCACAACTTGAAAGATTACACAGAAACCTTAGTGGGTTGGAAATTTATATTAATGGATGAGAACCAACTCAGAAAAAGAGAATGAGGATGATTGTACAATTTAAAAACATGACCAGCATAATCAATGTCACTAAATAGTACATGTGTAATCTTGAATTGGTGTATGTTTTGCTGCGTATATTCTCAATAGCAACAAAATAAAATAATTTTTAAAATAAAACCTTATGGAGCATAGCATCTTTATGGAGCATCTGAATAGATAAATGTATAAAGATCAAAGTTTATTTGTGGCTGCCAAGGGCAGGATCTTGCTATGCATCTGAGAGATGGATAAATGAATAAGGATGACAAAAAAAAATTGATGCCTTTGAGTTGTGGTGTTGGAGAAAAGTACTAAATATCCCATGGACTACCAAAAGAACAAACAGATGTCTTCCGGGAAGTGCAACCAGAGTGCTCCTTGGAGACAAGGGTGGCAAAGCTTCATCTTACATACTTGGGGAATGTTGCTAGGAGAAGCTATTCCTTGGAAAGGGTCATTGTGCTTGGAAATGTTGAGAGTCAGTAAAAGAGAGAAAGACTCTCAACGAGATGCATTAACACAGTGACTGCAGCAGTGGGTTCAAGTATGTCAAAGATGATGCGTTCAGTGCAGTTTCAGATCTCTTGTTCATAGGGTCACTATGAGTCACGCACATAATAACAACAACAACAAGGGCAGGTGGGAGGGAAAAGAAGAGGAAGGCACAGTACTTAGAGGATGCTAAGGGTGATGGAAAACTGGTGATGTGTGAACAACATGATGAACATGTTTAATGTCACCACATTGTACATGTGAAGATTGAAGTATTCCTGTTTTGTTCCGTATTTCTTTAAAATGGAAAAAAAAATTGAGGTAAGAGTTAAAATCATAAAAGTGAAGGCTCTCTCCAGAGGAAAGTATAAAGAGCACGAAGTTAGAGAAAGCCTTAGAAGAAATGAGGCTCAAAGAAGATGGGGGGAGGGTGCGTGAGTAGAGGGCAGGGAACCAGCTTTAAATGTGAAGCAGCAGAGTTTAGTGTAGCTTTGGAGAGAAGATTTTTCACAAAGAAGAGATGTCATTTTGACAAATGTTTCTAAGAATAAATTTCTTAATCAACAATGATAAGTGCACCTCCACTTACGTGCCTCTCTAATCCAGACTTTACTGCTCTCTAGGCTGTGAAGCTTCATGGGGGTGTGGACATCCTGGTCTCCAATGCTGCTGTCAATCCTTTCTTTGGAAACCTAATGGATGTCACTGAGGAGGTGTGGGACAAGGTGAGAGGGGATTAAAGCAGCAGGGTGCAGGCCTCGGAGAGCTTTCAACGCCAACTCAGTCTGCTTTTAAATACGTTTTGTCAAGTGTGCTGTGAAAGGGAGGGGTCATCACTATTTGTGACACATGTGGAGCGCACCTGGTAAAGGGCAGTAGGGGGTGGCTCTTTTGTCCCTGCCCTTCCTTCCCTTGGATTCCTGCTTCTCCCCAGGTTGGTTCCTGCTTTTGCTGCTTGCTCGCTCTCTTCTCCCCCCCCTCCAGCTCTCTCCTCTCAACTTGCTTATCTACACTGCTCCCCCTGATATGTTTCCAAAAGATACATAGCAACTAATATGCCAATAACTAAGGCACTCCTAAACATACCCATCTGCCCCTTCACAGCTGCCAAAGAAAGAATGATTTTTTTCATTAGTTGGGAAACTTTAATAGCTGCTAGCTAAGTGAAAGAAGGAACCCTCAAGGCACAGTGGTTAAAAAACTCAGCTGCTAACCAAAAGGTCAGCAGTTCAAACTCACCAGCCATTCTACAGGAGAACAATAAGGCAGTCTGCTTCCATAAAGATTTACAGCCTTGGAAACTTTATGGGTCATTCTGCTCCGTCCTGCAGGATCATTAAGTGGGCAAATGGTAGTGAGCTTGGTTTAATTGCTTTCACTAAATGAAATCTCAATTCTGGTGAAATGACCAAAGTTGCCAGTTTATGTAACTTAACTAACTTTGAAAAAGGCCAATACTTTTTCTTGACTGCAATGTCAAGAAAATTTGAGGCCCAAATATTTCTTTTTATTTGAATGTGTATCATCTACATTATATTTGTAATATATTTCACATACTTGCATCTTTCAATTGCAAAGCCTTAAAATTTGTCTTTGTTTAGCAATCCCATCTTTTTCCTGAAGAGCTGCTGGTGGGTTAGAACCACCAGAGAGATGCGGCCTTTAGGTTAGCAGTGCAATTCCCTATGCACTATGCCACCAGAGCTCTCTAATGTTCCCATTTGATTTGAAAATGTTAATCTTGTTATGCTTTTTATTGTCGCTTGGGTGAGAGTTTACAGAGCTAATTAGCTTTACACTCAACAATTTATACACATTTTATTTCATTGTTTGATTGCATTGTCCTCTAACATTTTATTGAGTTATTTGATTGCAATGCACTTCTTCTCTGGGTCCTTGGTTTCCATTTATCCTTCTTTCTCTCCCATTTTGAACTTCGATGCGGGCAAATGCTGACCTTTTGATCTTGTATGATTTATGGTAATGAAGAGTACAGATCTCCTTGGCATTGCTACACACTTTACAGCCCTGTCTATTGCTTGACTGAAAGTTGATCCCCAGGGGTAGGTTCAATTCCAGGCTTGAAGGGACTCGAGGGTCCACAGTTGCAGGACTTGTACCATTTTCTATCAGACCAGTAAGTCTGGCTTCTCTTAGGACTTCTTTTTTTTATTTTTAATTTTATTATTTTTTGTGTGTACCATCAAATTGGATCTGACTGGTACAGGAGGAGATTGTCATTCCTTCTCCAGCAGAGCATCTGGTGGATTCAAACCGGACACCTCTGGGATTGCAGTGTAGCTTCTTGCCACTAGGCCACCAGAGCTCCTTAAGGACTTTCAAATTTTTTTCTCTCCCTGTCTTTCTAACATGTTGTATTGTGATCCCAATCAGAGTGGCCAGTAGTAATAACTGGGCACCATCTAGTTCTTCTGATGTCATAATAGTAGAGACTGAAGTTCAAGTGGTCCGTCAGTCTGTTCATAGGAGTGATTGTTTCCTTGGACCTTTGTTGTTGTTGTTTTTTTTTCTCTCTTCTTTGTGCTGGACAAGGAGGGGCCGATAGTTGCATGATAAATGGCCTCTCACAGGTTTTAAGACCCCAGTCAGTATTTACCAAATTAAGATGCAGAACATTGTCTTTGTGGACTATGTTATACCAATTGACCTGGATGCTCCCCAACACTATGGTCCAAGTTCCCAAGACCAGTGATTCATTCCTTCAACGTGTTTAATCATAGCTAAGATATTTCCAAAACTTTCCCCATGCAAACACATACGTAGGAATAACTCCTGCCAGACTTATATATACTCACAGGTGTACTCTCATGAGTCTTCCAGCCTCTGTTCTGTTTGCATGTCTACCTACGTATCTACTCGAATTGTTTGTCTATTATTGCAGGGATGGTATTTACCATTGTGGGTTTTTCACTGTTCTTTACCTCTCAGTGTCTGCCTTGAGTTCCATTGGTCATATGTTGCTGCCTTCCCTTTATTGTGCTTTGCCTTTCTCTGTGCCCAATTTGATGCGTGTCTGCTCTCTACTTGGTAATTTACCTTTTCCTCCTTTCCCATCCTGGTAACCACCAAAAAATGTTTCTCTCTGTGTATAAATCTCTTCTTGACTTTTTATACTAATGGCCTCACATTTGCCTTTTTGTGACTGACTTATTTCACTCAGCATAATGTTCGCCAGCTTCATACACATTATGAGGTATTTCACAGACTCTTCTATATTATCTAACATCCATTGTGAACATGTACCATAATCAGTTTATCCATTCATCTAATGATGAAAACTTAAGTTTACATCCTTTTGCTCTTGTGAATATTGCTGTGATGAACGTGTGTGTGAATATGTCTTTTCTTGTCACAGCTCTTATTTCTCTAGGATATAGAACTAGTAGTGTGATTGCTGAGTTACATGCCATTTCTGTTTCTAATTTTTTTTTAATTTTTAATTGTGTGTGTGTGTGTGTGTGTGTGTCTTCAAATTAGATCTGACTGGTACAGGAGGAGATGGCCCCTCCTTCTCCGGCAGAGCATCTGGTGGATTTGAACCACATATCTCTGGGATTGCAGTGCAGCTTCTTGCCACTAGGCCACCAGAGCTCCCCTTCTAATTTTTTTTAAATAAGCGCACATACCATTTTTCACACTAGTTAAGCTGTTTTACAGCCCCACTAGCAAAATTCTAATCTCTCCATACCCTCTCCCGCATTTGTTATTTTCTGGTTTGTTTTGTTTTTAACTTGGCTGTTATTGCTAGGATGAATCAGGCAGCTCTTTCTCATCCAAGCTTAATGTGTCACCATTGAGCTGAATTAGCTGGTGAGAGATGCCTCTCCTTGAGCCTTCATTTCCTTACTTGTAAGGTCAGGGTAGATCTCCTCTGAGATCTGACAAACATCCTGGTAACCCCACTGTAACTCATCTCCCTGCCTCCTCTAATTCCCTTCTCACATGCTGTGCTCTCCTTTCTCGGTTTCAGATTTTGGACATCAACGTGAAGGCCACAGCCATGTTGACAAAGGCAGTGGTGCCAGAGATGAAGAAACGAGGGTATAAAGAGTGAGAGGGAACCTGGGTGAAGTGGGAAAAGGCTGAGGATCCTGGACTCCATTGGGAAAAGTATCAGCTTTCTTCTTTTTTCCAGAGGCGGCTCAGTGGTGATTGTGGCCTCTCTAGCAGCCTACACCCCCTTTCCTGTAAGAACCCCTTTCTCTGCTACTTTCTTTCCTTCCTCCATCCCACACCTCCTCATTTCTCCAGTTACCTTAAGAAGTTCGTGATCCCTTTTGGAATCATACTACCAAACTCTTCCCCCCACCCCCCCAAAAAAAGATGCCTTGTCCTAACCTAGAGGAGGTTTAAATGACAGTTTCCTGATGGTGACACTTCCTTATGGGTTATAAGTAATCAGCATGGTAACTGTTGATCACTGCTCTTTATATCTGATGGTAAGAACCAAGAATGAACTGACCACTAAGGGAAGAGACTAACCTATTCATTCTCTTCTTTCCTCAGGGACTGGGCCCATACAATGTTAGCAAAACAGCCTTGGTGGGCCTTACCAAGAACCTGGCCATAGAATTGGCTGCAACAAATATTAGAGTGAACTGCCTGGCCCCTGGACTCATCAAGACCAACTTCAGCCGTGTGGTGAGGAGGGGGAGCCCTGCTATTCAATGGGTGATCCCTGAAGGGCAGCCATCTTTCCAGATCTGCTGGGGTCCTGAGGTCTAGTCCCATCTCTCTAAGATTTCCCAGCTTCCCTCTGCATGCCAACCACTGTCCAAGACTGAATCCACACCCAGACCCACACACTCCTTTCTAAAGCTGTAAGTCGCTGCTAAGGAATTCAGATTCTACTAATAGCATTTTGTATCTCCCTTTGTATCACCTTAAGTGATACTAACTGGATAGACTTTATTCTTATAAGAGGTAGCAAAATGCCCCACTGAGAATAAAACAGAAAAGGTTGCTGAGTAAAGACAGTCACCTCAGAAAAGACAGAAAGTAAAAGAATCTCCTCATTCTTCCTCTTGATGTCAAGCAGTCTCTTCCTATATGTCTTTCAGTTACTCTTCTTTCACATAAAGACATTTCCCAGCTTCTCCTTTCTTTCTGCAGTTATGGATGGAGAAGGCAAATGAGGAAAGCATAAAAGAACTCCTGCGTATAAAAAGGTAAGACTTACCAGAGGGAGAGTCCCGAGGGATAAAAATGGAAGAAGGGTTTGGTTCTTACCATGGTTCATGGTTCCCTGCCCTTCAGTCCCACAGATAGAGGCTTGGTTTCCCCTGCTTCAAACACACAAGCTTTACAAGTTCATCAACACTGTATCATTGTGAATTGTGCACAGTCTGCTTCCATTGCAAAACCACAGAGCTTTGGGAGAGGCCTTGACTCCTTACTCCACTGGGATGTTTGTTTACACATGTGGACGTCCATTGCTACCAGGGACACATCAGTCCCTGTTATTGTTATCGTTAAACTTCCCAGTGACTAAGTATGCAGCTTGGATAGAGAAGCACTAATCCAGGCTTTCTAGGTTTGACTTATTTACTGGACTTACTTTAGAGCATTTGATAGTAATCAGATGGAATAGTCTCTAGATCTGCAGTCACTCATACAAACAATAAGAATCTGCACTTTCTCACACGATGAACTGGATGGACTTTAAGGGACAAAAGTAGATTCCTGGGAAAGTTTCTGTAAATTGAACCTGTACAAATGGAATGATTTTTTAAATACACTATTTAATGTTGCATAGACTCCCTAACACTTGAGAAGTATGTTCACCTGGGAAACAAATTCTTTTGATATGAAATAGCTGTTCCCCATTTTAACTTTTGTAACATTGAGGCTTTGTATGCTTAGTTCTCTAAAGAAATAGTGTCTAAATCTTATTTTAACCTAGTGCTTATGGTTCACAGGGTACAGTTCTTTATGCTGACATTATAACAGCTTATCCTCATGATAACTCTCTGGTGATAGATGAGAAGCCTAGCAACTGGTTCTGAAAAACCATCTGTTAGTTATGTCATTGTTATTTATTGTGGTATGTATATAATTTTATAAGGAGTGTAGTACATAGCATGTTGATTGCTTATTGAAAAGTCAGTGGTTCAAATCTGCTCCCCAGGACAGATGGTCTTCTCCCATAAAGATTTACATCTTCAGAATCCCAGTGGAAGATTGTTGCATCCAAATCAACTTAATAGCATTGTAGTTTGGTTGTATAAGTATATGCATTAAAGAACCTACAGATGAAAATATTAATAATAGGACATTTTCCATATCTATAACTGATAATTCTTAATTAAACAAATGTCATCCCCTGTGCACCATGCTCAGAGGACCTTATCTGCTTGATTTCTACTCCCTTGTTTCTTCTATTCCCCAGGATAGGCAAACCAGAAGAGTGTGCAGGCATAGTATCTTTCCTGTGCTCTGAAGATGCTAGCTACATCTCTGGGGAGACAATGGTGGTGGCTGGAGGGGCCTCCTCCCGGCTCTGAGGACCTGAAGAGAGCACACCAGGGCAGAGGCTGAGCTCAATCTCGTAGGATCTCTTCCCGCATTTCTGGACCAGCCTTTCTCACTTCTGTGTGTGATACTGCTCACGTTATACTCTACATCTTTAAAAAAAAAATCACTCTGCCCCGTGTAAAGAGCCTTCTTGCAATCAAGATGTGGTCTTGTATCAGGGGAGGGCTGTTGCCAGTTACCCTGGACAAAGACTCCCCTTAGAACACAGGTCAGGCCTGCTGAGAAAGCTGAGCCTACCTTGGCAGACAATGACTAATATTTTTCTCCTCTGGGCATCTGGGTAATTTAAGGAGAAATGAGAAAGAAGGAACCTGGAGTGGTTGGAGCTGAGTTAGAAATTAACAACTTGCAAACAAGATGAAAATAAAATGCAGATCTTGTTGCTTTGAATTAATATTTCTTCTGTGTAGTGTGATGAGGTATGGTCTCTGGACAGAGCACAGAAATCTAGGCAGATGGATCTCTGGATCCCTTGACTCCTTCCTATCTCCAAGATTTGAGCGTGACGCTCTGGGGTGGAGGTGTCTGCAAAGCGGCCAGCTGGGAGGAGGTGGCACTGGGAACTCCCAGGTGCCACTCTCAACCTCACACCCCCAGGAATGGTGCCAGAGACGCCTCGGGAATCCCCAAGGCTGGGCAAATGAAAAGGAAGGACACACTCCCCCGGTTCTCTGCTGGAATTGCCCTCAGCCCTCCCTCTCGAGTCAGCGAGGACGAGCTGGATGGATCCTACTAAGCTCAGCAGCTGAAAGGGAAGGACCCTTGTAGGATGACCCTGGGAGGCGTACCCAGGCCCACAAACAAAATACGGTCTGTCCAAGATGCTCAAGAGTAGGTGACAAGGAAAGAGGATGCTGCCTCTGCTTGGAGACAGCGCGGGCGCTAAGTGACGCGCACTGGGCATCTCACGCGGGAGCCGGGGAGGGGTCGGCGCGAGCACGCGCGGGGTCTCACGCGTGCGGCAGCACGCGCATGCTCCATGGGCACCTCTCCGGGCGGGGCGTGAGCCCGGCGCTCCGAGGCGGGGGGGAGGAGCGCTCGCGCAGCCGCCCCTCACAGGAGCGGGCTCGGCCGCTGCTGCAGCGCTCGGCGCCCCGGCCCTGCCGAAGCCGGGTCTAGCATGTGCCGTGGCTCCCTAGCGGCGGCGGCGGCAGCACCAGCAGCGGCCGTCATGGCCAAGCCCAGCGCAGAGCTCACCCGCGAGCTGCAAGGTACGAGGCTGCCCTAGTCTCCGGGACGCCCGGTCCCGGAGCATCCCAGATCCAGTGCATTCCTCCCCGCGGTACGCCCCAGCCCCGGCGCCTCCCGCCTCCTCCTCACCCCTGTGCATCCCAAGATCCATAGCCTCCCCTGCCCGTCCATGCCGGCTCAGGAATCACCACCCCAGAGCATCCTCCACTGCCCCCTCTCGCCTCACCCTGCCAGGACCTTCCTTGTCCTGCAACCACCCGTCCCACTCTTCAGGGACAGGTGCAATCTCCTGGCGCTCCCCCTGGCTCCTTCTCAGCACTCTGGCCCTTCTCTTAGCGTGGCGTCTAGTCTCCCCTCTAGAGAGTCCCCCTCTTTCCCGCCGGGAAGGGCCGTGCCAGCCGGGCCGAGCGCTGGGAGCTGCCCCTGGTCCTGACCATGCTTAACTCCACACCCTCCCGCCTCACGGCTCCGCCCCGGAACTAGCCCTGGAGATTCCCCTAGGAACCGGGCAGCGCCCAAGCTAGTGGGGCAAAGAAGAGAGTCAGGGAAGAGGCCCTGGACTCGGGCGAAATCAAGAATGGGTCTCTGCGGCTCATCTCCACGCCCGTCCCCCTCGCAGTCCCGGCCTGCTCACTCGTGCAAGCCCCCCACCCTCACCCCAAGTCCTCTCAGGTTTGCATGATTCTCAGGCTCAGCTTAAACCAAGGCCTGACCTCCCAACCCTGCCAGAACCTTGTCTCCCTGAAGCGGGAGCACGGGCTACCCACAGAGACACCAGGACGCTCAAGGATACTCAGAGGCATGCTGGACTGTCGCGATTTCCCACACCTCCACATACACAGGCACAGTCGTGAGATGTGTACGCACAGCTTTACAGAAACCGCACCCCCACACACACTGTAGGATATCTGGTAATTCTGCCAGCAGATGTGTACGGGCTCATTTAAATACTAATTCCTCCCTACCTTCCAATTACACGCGCGCACACGCACACACATGCACATACATACGCATACACATCCCAGAACAGCTGACCCTGGGCCCCTTTTACAACAGCAAGTGCAGCAAACTCATTCACACTTCTTCATCTCCACAAACACCAAACAGATTCCCTGACACCTTCAGATGACTGTACACACACACAGCCAGACCACCTAGAATATAGTCAAAGGGACACCCCCACACCCTACACACTGACTCACTGTGTATGTGTCGACGGGCTGTTGTAGTGCATGGGATGGAATTGTCCTTCACACCCTCAGAAGTGTAAGACACACCCTCCCACAGGCAGTGGCACTCAGCAACTGTCCCCTGACTCGGGGACATCAGGAGCCAGACTTTTCTCCACACTTCACGCTCTCTAATAAGAGAAAAAGCACCCAAAAAGGAAGGCTCCCAGCCACTGCCCTTTGTCTCTGTTTCTCTCTCCTCCCATCTGGCCCTGCCTCTGTCTCTATCTGCGAGCCCTGGGGAGGTGGGGGAAGGGATGGTCAGGGCAGCAGGAGTTCTAAGCAAGCTCCCACCCACCTGCAGACAGCATCCGGAGGTGCCTGAGCCACGGGGCTGTACTCCAGCAGCACCGAGTGAAACTGGAGATCAAGCCCAAGAAGTTTGAAGACCGAGTGCTGGTGAGGGCAGCAGGCCTGGAAGGCCGAGAGGGGGACAGGCTAGCTGGCGCAATGAGGCCAACAAGCCTGGGAAGCAGGGGAAGACAAGTGAAAGAGAGCTAAGGAAACACAACCTGGAGAGGACCAGAACTGGACTAGACTGGTATGCAGAAGCCTAAAGTAGGAGGAGAGAGAGAAAGAAACCTCAGGCAGAGAGCCACTGAAGGCAGGGGTTGCACGCAGGTTAAGGAGACTAAAGAGAGGCTCCGCATGCTGCTGACATTCTTTCCTCTCTCTGCAGGCCCTGACCTCCTGGCGCCTACACCTCTTCCCCCTTAAGGTCCCAGCTAAGGTGAGCTGGGCTGGGAAGGAGGAGCTTGCAGCATGCTCCCTCCTGGGCCTGACTGCCCTGTAGCATGAACTGAGCCTTGCTTGTGTCTGTCCTCTTCTCCCCCAGGTGGAGAGCTCCTTCAATGTCTTAGAGATCCGCGCCTTCAACACACTCAGCCAGAACCAGGTTAGCACCCGGATTTAGGGCCCCTTGCGTGGGCTAGACAGGAGAGGAATTGCTGGCTAAGGTCCTGCTGCTCCTTTTGCCCCCAGATCCTGGTGGAGACAGAGCGTGGGGTAGTGAGCATGCGGCTGCCCTCAGCTGAGAGCGTGGACCAGGTGACCCGACATGTGAGCTCCGCCCTCTCCAAGGTCTGCCCTGGCCCTGGGTGAGTGGCAAAGGAGGAGCCTCTCAAGGGGTTAGACAGTAGGGAGACTTCTTCCCTTTTTCCCCTGGACTTCTGCTCCTGAAAGACCAAGAAGAAAACTCTCGTATCCCCACATGAGTATTTTTTTGAGGGATCCAGAATTTATACTACAGGAAGTAGTGACAGAAACCTCTCCCATCCTTATCTGGGATGGGCTTGTTCACATTTCAGGTGCCTAATCCGACGTGGAAATGCTGACACCCCAGAGGGGCCCCGAGACACATCCCCCAACTCTGAGACTTCCACTTCTACTACTCACAGTGTCTGTGGTGAGCAGGGGCAGACTTGAAGAAACTGAAGCCAAACCACCCACATCTGGACTCCTTAGTACAGGGTGCGGGAGGGTTTACCTACCCTGAGCCGCCCCCCACTCCCACCCCGTGAGCTCTCAGGAGGCTCAGGGGATAGCAGGAACATGGGCTTTGGAACCAAAATAACCCACAAAAAACTAATGACCTTGACCTTTCCTTGAACTCCAAGCCTGTTTCCCCTCCCCCTCCCCTTCATAGACCCAGCCTATTTCCTGCTTCACAGGTGGCTTCTCTGAGACCTATGCTGCCCTGTGCGACTACAATGGGCTGCACTGCCGTGAGGAGGTGCAATGGGTGCGTTGAGCAGGGGCCCAACAGGCGGGCAGGTGGGACCCAGAGGGTGGGGGCAGAGGAGAAGGAGGGGAGCAGGTGTGAGCCAGCTCCACCTCTCCAAGGATGTGGACACCATCTACCATGCTGAGGATAACCGGGAGTTCAATCTTTTGGATTTCAGCCACCTGGAGAGCCGGTAAGTAGATGGAAAGAGATTGAACCCCCAAATTCCCAGTCTCAGCCAACCCAAACCCTTCCCAGAATCTCCCTCTGGCCCTACCTTAGCCCCAATTCTATCTCCCCAGCCTTACACCCCACTACCATCTACCCATCCATTCTTTCCCTGACCCAGCCACCCCACCCTTATCTTGCCCAGCCCTGCTCACCACTCACCTGCCTCCTTCCGTATCTCCACAGGGACTTGGCCTTAATGGTGGCCGCTCTGGCCTATAATCAGTGGTTCACCAAACTCTACTGCAAGGACCTGCGGCTGGTAGGGGCCAGAAGTGGTCGGGGATGGGAAAGGTGCAGAGCTGTGTCCTTCCCGTTCCTAATTACAGATCTCCCTCTGCCCTCAGGGCTCCGAAGTGCTAGAACAGGTGCTACATACTCTAAGCAAGTCGGGAAGCCTGGAAGAACTGGTGCTGGACAACGCTGGGCTTAAGACGTGAGGCCAGCCTCCCCCTTGGGCAGTGGTGCCCCCTAGGTAGTCTTAGGGTTCCCAAACTTCAGAGCAGGATGAGCCTCTTGACTATCTCATTCTGCTCCTCATTTTAGAGAAGACTGAGGCCCAAACAGGGAATATTGCAAACCAGTTATCAAGCTGGGACTAAGACCTAAGCTTCCTGACCCCCAGCTGCCATGTCTTGTCCCAGTGTGCACCATACTCCCTGCCTGTCCTTTTCCCACTGACTCCTGAGTGGGGTGGGCTGTTCCCATCTTGAGGACTTGAAGCTGGGCTTTGTCTCAGCACAGCTTTCCAAGGTGTGGGACATCCCCAGGTACTTTAGAATAGTGACAAACTCCCTGGCAGCCTCCTAGCTGCTCCCCATATGTGGGGTCTCTAACCTATGCAGTCTCAGGCAGGCAGACGGAGGAGGAGGGGAAGCCCAGGGGCTGGAACCTGGGGCCCAGCTCAGGCCAAATCCTTCCTACCCTTCCCTGAAGGGACTTTGTCCAGAAGCTGGCCGGGGTGTTTGGGGAGAACAGGAGCTGTGTGCTGCATGCCCTCACTTTGTCCCACAACCCCATCGAGGACAAGGGTGAGCCCCAGCCCTGAATCCTACCCCCCACCACAGTGGAGACCCCATCCTTACCCAGTGCCCAGCCCGGGTCTGAATAGGGGCTTTCCAGTCTAATTCTGGCCCCCACCCCAGAATCTCTATCCTTGACCCCAGGTCCATACCCTCTCTGAGCCCCCAGTCTGACTCAACACGATCTGTCCACTGCCTGGCTTCTCACCGCAATGTGTTTCTCTTCTCACTCTTCAGGTTTCCTCAGCCTGAGCCAGCAGCTCCTCTGCTTCCCCACTGGCCTCACCAAACTGTGCCTGGCCAAGACTTCCATTTCCCCAAGAGGTACTCACACCAAGACCCCTGATCTCTGACCTCAAAGGCCACTTGGAGTATTGAGTCCCCAAAGTATCCCCTCACATTTACCCACCATCCCAGAAGTCAAGGAGGGAAAAGGGTCCACATTTCCAGAGTAGGGAAGAGTTGGGGGCTGGAGGGAGGGGGAGGGATGGGGACAAACCTAGCCCAGTGCCTGCCATGCTCAGGGCTCCAGGCGCTGGGCCAGACCTTCGGGGCCAACCCAGCCTTTGCCAGCTCCCTCCGATACCTGGACCTGAGCAAGAACCCTGGGCTGCTTGCCACGGATGAGGCCAATGTAAGTCCATGGGATAAGGCCTCAAGCCCCTGTAGAAGCATGCTCAGGTTTCAGGGCCTGGAGGCTGCTGCCCCATGGCCCCTGGGGGCGGAGGGACTCAACCCCTCCTTCTCCCTGCAGCCCCTTCATCCTTCCTTCCCCAGGCCCTCTACAGTTTCCTGGCCCAGCCCAACGCTCTGGTGCACCTGGACCTGTCGGGGACTGACTGTGCCATTGACTTGGTGAGGGACTGGGGGTAGAGGAGACAGTCTAAGGTGACTTGGGCCCCTGGGTGGGTCTGTGTGCCACACCCTGCTTCCTGAATCTGGAGGTGGGATGGGAGGAGAGTACCAGTTAACAGGAGCCAGGATGGGGAGCGCTGAGGATAGGACTTCAGGTCCAGGTGAATTCTAAAAGCACACACTGTGCACCCCCCATCCCACCGGTGCCAGTTACGTCCACCAGAAGGAAAGGAACGTCCCCTAATGTGAACAGATTCCCCTTCTAACTAGTGATAGCCCCAGCTTTACATGTTTACTGTATTTGAGCCTGTCCTCTACCACTATGTGGCATCAATTGGTACACGCTCAAACATGCTAGCCAAGAGCTTGGTGGTTCAAACCCACCCATAGACTCCTGGCAAGACAGACCTAGTGACCTGCTTCTGAAAACCCTGTGGAGTAGTTCTACTCTGCAAAAGTGACTTGACGGCTCCTAGTAACAACCACCACCCCGAGAGACCACGCAGGGAGTAGGCCAACTTTCCAAAGAGGGGAAAACGGAGACTTAATTACAGGCTAAGTACAAGGGGCATAGGAGTGGCAGAATCCTCACCATCCATGAGGGTTTAATTCCCAGCAAATACCACCCGTCGGTGGAAACTTGCTGTGATGCTGAACATGTTTCAGCAAAGCATCCTGAGTGAGACAGAACAGGAAGACCTGACAATATACTTCCAGAAATCAGCTAATGAAAACTCTGGATCGCAACAGCCTGGGGATGGCACAGGACTGGCAGCATTTTATTCTGTTATGAACGGGTTCACCATGAGTGGGAGCCCACTCAAAGGCAGCTAACAACAAACGCAGGCAAACATCGGCTAACCTCAGAGGGAAGTGAAGAGTCATTCTGGGAAGGGGAAAAGGGAGTCCTTCCCCTCCTCCTCCCAGCACCACTCCCAGCCCTAAGATCCGCCCTGTCTCTCCATACAGCTTCTGGGAGCCTTGCTCCATGGCTGCTGCTCCCACCTTACCTACCTCAACCTGGCTCGCAACAGCTGCTCCCACAGGTGGGAGCAGGTGGGGATGGTTGCAGGGAGGGACATGGCAAGCAAGGGTGTCTCCCTCCCATGCTGACCCCAGGGGTCTCTGCAGGAAGGGCCGGGATGCCCCACCAGCCTTCAAACAATTCTTCAGCAGCGCCTACACACTGAACCATGTCAATTTGTCGACCACTCGGCTGCCCCTGGAGGCCCTCAGGTCGGGTGGGTGCAGGGTTGGGGGCATCCAAGGGAATAAGGAGGGTGTGGGGGAGGCGTAAAACCAAGCCTCTTGACCATCCTTCCACAGGGCGCTGCTCCAGGGCCTCTCGCTCAACAGTCACCTCAGTGACCTGCATCTGGACCTCAGCAGCTGTGAGGTGAGCCCTCAGTACCCCCAGGCCTGTCACCTGTCTCCCTCCAGTTGCCCTCTTGTTTATTTCTTTTACCTAAATAGAGCGCCAGCTCCATCTTGCCTTGTTAGTACCCCTTCTATAACACTGCCCTTTCTTTGTTTTCTTCCTTCCTCTGATCTGGGTTCCTCTTCCCGGAGACTCTTGTTCATCTTGAGCCCTAGAATCTCCCCCACTTATTCGGGGTGAGAGATACCAAGCTTTTCCACCAGGGGGCAGGAGCACACTATTTTAGGACTGCCACCTTGAGATTTTTCTGACTGAAGGAGAGACCTGGGGAGGATCCGTTGTGGAGAAAGGGTCTCTATGGTTCTTACCTCCTTGCCCCCTCCAGTGACCTTGAATCCTAATGTGAGCATGGAGGTGCCCTATCTCCCACCTCAAGGAGCCTTGGTGGTGTATTAAGTTAAATGCTGAGCTGCTAAGCAAAAGTTAAGCAATTTTAACCTACCAGCTGCTCTGCTAGAGAAAGATAAGAGAACAAGTTTCCTCCCATTAAAATTTACAACTTCAAAACTTGATACAGGGTCTTTATGAGGCACAGTCAACTCAGCAGCAGTGTCTTGGGGTTTGGGTTTGGGTTGAGGGGGTATGTGTGTGTGTTTTGGGTTTTTTTAATATCCCATTCCCCTCCCCTCCCGTGTCCTTGCAGCTCCGATCTGCCGGAGCACAGGCCCTGCAGGAGCAGCTGGGTGCTGTCACTTGCGTGGGCAGCCTGGACCTATCAGACAATGGTGAGTGGCAGCCCCACCTTCACTGGGAAGCAGATGGGGCAGGGCCTGGACTGTGAGGGGAAACCTGAGGAAGTGTGAGTCTCAGGCCTCAAGGCCACACGTTGCTCATCTACTGGCCAGGGTTTGACTCCGACCTCCTGACTCTTGTGCCTGCACTTGGCAAGAACAAGTCCCTCAAACACCTGTTCCTGGGCAAGAACTTCAACGTCAAGGCCAAGTGAGTCCAGTCCCCATGCCCACAGCCCCCTGTCCCGTTGTCCACCCATCCTCCAGACTCACCATGTCACCTCTGGGCCCCTCCCTACCTCAAACCACCACCCTCCTCCAATAATATGACCCCCCCCACCCTCCCCTTCTGCTCTGAGCCCTACCTCCACACAGGACCCTGGAGGAGATCCTCCACAAGTTGGTGCAGCTGATCCAGGAAGAGGACTGTGTGAGTACCTGCTGGGAGGGAACTTGCAGGGACAGAGAACTATGGAAGCTTGCCTGAACCCCTTTACTGTTTGACCACACAGTCCCTGCAGTCACTGTCGGTGGCGGACTCCCGGCTGAAGCTTCGCACAAGCATCCTCATCAATGCTCTGGGCAGCAACACGTGCCTGGCTAAAGTGGATCTGAGTGGCAATGGCATGGAGGACATCGGGGCCAAGATGCTGTCCAAGGCCCTGCAGATAAACTCCTCCCTCAGGTGGGGCCCACACCTGCAGCCCAGTTCCCCACAAACACCCTCCCTGCTTGCCAAGCCTCCTTGCTCTGCACCTGAGCCTCTAGGAGACCCCAGCCCCCAAACCACCTCTGAGTCGACCTCATTTTCCAGGAAAGGAGGGAGGGCTCCAAAGAAGGTTGTGTCCCTAATCCCTCATAGGGACCTAGAAGGAGGGTAACAAGCTGTGCTCATCCTCCTCCCAGAACTATCCTGTGGGATCGGAACAACACATCTGCCCTGGGCTTCCTGGACATTGCAAGGGCCCTAGAGAGGTGAGCAGACTGGAGCCCTGGCCTGACCTAAGCCCCCAGCTTCTCAATGCCTTCGCAGTATCCAGGTATCACCCCAGCCCTGTCCCACCTGCTTGACCTGTTTGCATGGAGCCATTAGAAAGGGCCATGGGGAAAAGGACCGACCAGGACAGAAAGCAGTAGATTGAGACGTTAGAAAGTACAAGATAGGAGATCAGAAAGGGAGAAAAGAAATGGTCATTAAGGGATGGTGGGTCTTTAAGAGGAGGGAGACTCCCTCCCTCAACTGTTTGCCCACCCAGCTGTGCTCCTATGTCCCACAGCAACCACACCCTGCGCTTCATGTCCTTCCCTGTGAGTGACATCTCCCAAGCCTACCGCAGCGCTCCTGAGCGAACTGAGGACATCTGGCAGAAGGTGGTGGCCTCCCAGGAAGGGAGAACAAGGGGCAAGGGGCAGGCCCAACCCCAGGTCCTCACCCCGTCTACCCTTACCACCTTTAGATCCAGTGGTGCCTGGTGAGGAACAACCACTCCCAAACGTGCCCTCAGGAGCAAGCCTTCAGGCTTCAGCAGGGCCTGGTGACCAGTAGCGCCGAGCAAGTAAACGTTTCCCTCTGGGACACATGGGGATGGGGCATGCAGGGCACAGATGTTTAGTGATAAAGCACGTGGAGCGAGAATGAAAGAAGCATTGCATGGTGCCCCCACTGTGTTGAGCATGTGCATGCAAGAAAGCACAAAGACAGGACATTCTGATATGGGTCCCACACATGCCCGAACGTGGGCCAACAGCAGGGGACACACAGACACAGATACATAGGACTAAGGAGCTCGACCTGTACCTAAGTCTGTGCCCCAAGGAAGAGTGAGTGAATGTGCCATGCACGGACATTACTGTTACCACTGTCAGTGCCAGCACCAGCAGCACCGTACAAAAATGGGGCATCTGACGTGAACCTGGGAAGCTGAGGTAGCCTGCTGTTCCCTGACACTCCTGCTGCCTGGGCTCCAGATGCTGCAGCGGCTGTGTGGACGCGTGCAGGAGGAGGTGCGGGCCCTGAGACTGTGTCCCCTGGAACCTGTGCAGGATGAGCTGCTCTATGCTCGAGACCTCATCAAGGATGCCAAGAACTCCCGAGCGGTGAGCACTCACATCACCACCTTCCCCAACAGCTGGCAGAACCCCAGAAGGCCAGCCAGGCGAACTGGAGAGCGTGCAGGCTGCCCTATCCATCGGTTCTCAACTCAGGGACCAAGTAAGGCCTGATGCTGGCTAACTGTAACCCCGTCCTCCCATAGCTGTTTCCCAGCCTCTATGAACTGGGCCATGTGCTGGCCAATGATGGACCTGTGCGACAAAGGCTAGAGTCTGTAGCCAGTGAGGTGTCGAAGGCTGTGGACAAGGAGCTGCAGGCAAGTCCTGGAGGAGGGAGGAGAAGGGGTGGAAAGCCCAGTGGAGATAAGCCCTAGGTCAAGCCCTCTGGTCAGTTCTTTTCAGGTGTGGTCAAATGGACTACACCTTATAGTAACCCTGTGAACAACAGATCCAAATCTTGCCCTCATGTGCCGTCCTCACCATCTCTAAAATACCTGAACCTATTGTTACAGTCACTGTGTTGACCCAGGAAATGCAGAGCTGACCCACACTCCCAATGGACACAGCAGTGCTACCAAAGCAGGCTTTGATTTTTCCCCACACCCCACCCCCGTTGCCTCCCACCCTGGCCTCTGAACTGTAACCTCTCCCCTTTGGACTCTGACCTTTAGACTGGCTCTCCCCCTGCCTTTATTCTAGTGTAGAAGGAGACCTGCCCAGAAAGTGGGAGAGCCATGTAGCCAAGGCTTTGCACTTGCCTTTGCTGGCGGCCTGTGACCTTAGGCAGATCACTCAGTCTTCCTACACATGGTCTTGAATAGGCAGGCTCTGCTGCGGAGGTGCTGACCCTGGCCCTGATCTTGACCCTTGGGGCTCTGGTCTCCCTTCCTGCCATGCTAGGTAATCCTGGAGTCTATGGTCAGCCTAACACAGGAGTTATGCCCTGTGGCCATGCGTGTGGCCGAGGGACACAACAAGATGCTGAGCAATGTTGCAGAACGTGTCACCGTACCCCGGAACTTCATCCGAGGAGCGCTGTTGGAACAGGCGGGCCAGGACATTCAGAACAAGCTGGAGTGAGAGGCGGGCAGGGCTGGGGGGCAGAGGGAGGTGTCTGGATTTGTCCCAGAGCTCTTAGGGACTTGAGGCCCATAAGCAATGAATAATAAATGGTACAATCTACATTACAAGGATAAATCTTTAACCAAATGTAACCTTGCTTTTTAGGGTATGATTGATCATTGCCCTAAAGTCTTAAGTGTTGAGTTTGGGGAGAAGAGCCAGGATGATGCGAATACACCAGTGTACACACACATACCCACGTACACACACACACACACACACACACACACCCTAATCACCTCTCAGAAATAATGCTCAGCCTCCAAAAAACCTGACATAAGACACATACATGACCTTTGCTATCCCTTCACCCTCGTTTCCATTACCTTGTAGATTTTTCATTCTGAATCTGAGTGCTGAGGGAAGGAAAATTAGTACACACGCTCATGAAACAACCAGACTGAAGAGGTCCTGGCTTCTACTCTAGAAGCAACCAGCGGAATTTACTCAGTACCCTGATTTACTAAGTTTTGTTTCCTTACAACTCCAAGCATCCGATCTGCCCTCTTCCTCCTCATCCTTTAAGTTCTCTTTGCCTACCTTCTCCATGTGCATGCATCTCACTCACTGCCAGAACTGAACTCAGAGCTGACCCTGCATTGGGTTCTGAGGCTGGAAGTTGCAAAGGAGAAAGATTTATCATCTTTCTCTCTTGGAGCTACTGGTGGAGTCAAACCCTTGCAGACTAGGCCACAAGAGCTCCCTTCCCAATTGATTAGGGACAAAAGTAAGAAATAAAACAAACATACATCTTGTCTGGTGGGATCGTAGGTGTGTATTTATTGAAACATTAGTGTTGTGGACTCGAGGCCTCCCTACAGTAACTGTGTTCTCGATGGACATCCTAAACAGCTGGCCCACACTCTGGGACATCTGGGAGGTGAGGGGCTGAGGCTCAGAGGAAGAGAAAGGGGTGGCTAAGCTGCTCCATCTCTGCCCACAGTGAAGTGAAGCTCTCAGTGGTCACCTACTTGACCAACTCCATAGTGGATGAGATCCTGCAGGAGCTCTACCACTCCCACAAGAGCCTGGTAAGGTGTCTGAGCCCTGGCCAGGCCTGGGCATACTCGTCACCCCACATCGTCCCAACATCCTGAGTACCTTTTCTCCTCAAGGCTTGGGGAGATAAACAGCTTCCTTGAGCTCCTGTTCACATCTGCCTTTCTCTAGGCCCGGCACCTAGCCCAGCTAAGGACACTGTCAGATCCGCCAGGGGGACCGGGCCAAGGTCAGGATCTATCATCCCGGGGCCGAGGCCGGAGCCATGACCATGAAGAGACCACAGATGATGAACTTCTTGGGACCAACATTGTGAGCTCACCATAACTCTACTCGCCTCCTCCACCTGGGCCTTGTCCCTGACTGTCCCCTTCCACTTTTCTGGGTTTCAGTCTCCCACTGCTGGGCCTGGTCTCAAACTCCAACTCACTCGGCCTCTTACCTCCTGCCAATACCTCAGCCACCTGAGGAGGGAGAAGTAGGATGAACTCCAAAAAAGGAACCTGTGTGAGGAATACAGGTGAGGTTCCTGGGACTTGGGATATGACCCCTACATGTCTCCATTTCTGCAGGACACCATGGCCATAAAGAAGCAGAAACGCTGTCGCAAGATCCGCCCCGTATCTGCCTTCATTAGTGAGTCCCCCAGTCTCTTTTCTACCATCCTCCAAGTTCTGCACCTTCCATGGGCCCAGTTGCTCTTTCTGTTGTCTCTGTCCCTTCACCCGGCTTTCTTCCTATCCCTCCTGCTGGTCCCCTAATGCTTCTCTCCCCACAGGTGGGAGTCCTCAGGACATGGAAGGCCAACTGGGAAGCCTGGGGATTCCCCCTGGATGGTTCTCAGGCCTTGGGAGCAACCAGCCTACAGTTAGTGGCTCCTGGGAAGGTCTATCAGAGCTGCCCACTCATGGCTATAAACTAAGGCATCAGACACAGGGGAGGCCCCGGCCCCCCAGAACCACCCCTCCAGGACCTGGCCGGCCCAGTGTAAGTCTCTAAGACCTCACAAGAAGACTGCTTTTGCTTAGCAATGCCAAAGTCAGATGTTCTAGCTTCAGAGCATGAATGCCAGAGACACGCCTTAGGGAATTGGCAGGGGTCCTGGCAGGCCACCAACTAGAGGAACGATTATCCATTTTGAGTGGGAGTGGGAGTAAGACCAAGTTACAAATCGGAAGCCTGCCAGCCACCAGTGGTTCTCACTATAGTGAAGGATATAGCCAACAGCCACCAAGTCAAGGAATGCGCAGATGGCTAAAGTCTAAGTTACCATGAGGCCCAGAAGAGACAAAGTCCATGTACAAAGGGGAAAGCCCTGAGTGGCATGGAAGTGGGACTTCTGACCGCAGTGAGACAGCCAATAGGACTTTGTTCCCAGCAGGTCCCGGTGCCTGGGACTCGTCAGGAGAACGGAATGGCCACACGCCTAGATGAGGGACTAGAGGACTTCTTCAGTCGAAGAGTCATGGATGAAAGTTCCAGGTGTGGCACCTAGACACCATGTACAGCAGACCCTGAGGCATTGCGAGGGCTGCTGTGTCCTCTCCTCTGACAGTTCCCCAAAGCCGGATGCACTGGGATGTTTCCCCCACAATCCTTTCCTTCCTTCCTTCCCATCTAGCTCCTAGCTGTCATCACTTCTGAATCTCCCCCACAGCTGGAAAGGATGGAGTTAGAATGAAGCTCCGTGCAGGAGGGAAGGGATAGAGCTGGTTGGCAGAAAGCCCTGGGATGAAATTATGGTTGATGCAGAGAGGCCTGAAAAGGTGTCTCCAACTCGGCCTGAGACCACTTTACCTCAGTATCTGTTCAAAAGGAACCGTGTCACTTGGAGAAGCTGAGAGAAAGAGATGGGGGGTGGAAAGGAGAGAAGGTATCTGAGAGGAAAGTCAGTTTGAAGGAAAGGTGTTGCTGGAAGATTCTGCTAAGGAAGGTGAGGACTTTTTAAATCTCCAAATAGAACTGAGTGGTAAAGGGTTATAGCTCTGCTGATGAGAACAGACAGGAAAGTTAGTTGTGTATTAGACTCGGACTGGCAGATGCATGGCGTTTTGTCAGTAGCAACCCCCTGACTCTCCTCAGTTACCCTCGGACTCTAAGGACTGTTCGGCCAGGCCTCTCAGAGCCACCACTGCCCCCACTCCAGAAGAAGAGACGCCGAGGCCTGTTTCACTTCCGGCGACCCCGGAGCTTCAAGGGGGAAAGAGGACCCGGGTCCCCCACCACCGGTCTCCTCCTCCCTCCACCCCCCCCCCCCCCCCCAACTCAGGAGAGCCCCCCGAGTCCAGACCCCCCAAGCCTTGGCAATAATTCTTCCCCTGCCTGGAGCCCAGAGGAGGAGAGTGGCCTCCTGCCTGGATTTGGTGGAGGCCGAGGACCTTCTTTCCGCAGGAAGATGGTAAGAGTGCTGCTGTTCCTCCTTCTCCTGCCCCATATATCGCCCGCCTCCCCACCTCCACTCAAGGCAATGAGTAGGGAATTCTGGGGTTCCCAGATGATGCTCTGGTAGCCTAGTGGGTAGAGCATTGCAACTCGAACCCAAAAGTTCAAGCCACCAGCTGCTCCTTGGGAGAAAGATGGGCATTCTCTTCCCATGCAATTCACAGCCTTTGAAAACCCTTAAGAAGGTCAAATTTGAGTAGATTCTGACTCGATGACAATGAGTTTTGAGAGGATTTCTAGAGGACATTGGTCATTCCAAGAGGAGGAAGGGAGGCCATGCAGAGCATGCTGGGAGGGCTCGGCTGGGGCCCTCCTCCTCCCCATGCGCTTCATTCTCCATTTGCAGCTGTATGTGTAAACTTGAGATCTTGTTGCAGGGTGCAGATGTGTCAGAGCCAGGAGAAGGGGGCCCAGCCCCTGGGGCATCACAGCAGCCAACCCGAGTCCACGGAGTTGCCCTTCCTGGGTTGGGAAGAGCCAAGGGTTGGAGCTTCGATGGGAAACGAGAGGTGAGGGGAGCCAGGGGCAAGGAACTGAGGATGTTACGGGTCCTTGTGTACCACCCACCCCTCTTAAACCTTCCTAGGCGTTGTTGGTTCAGTGGAGAGAGCAGATGCTTTGCTGTTAGAATGTGTTAGCAGCAGCACTGCCTCACCACAAACTTGCCAGGGAAATCCTGGACTAGTCAATTAATCCCTCGGAGCCTCTACTAACTTGTAAATGAGGCTATAAAAAGACCTCTAAGGATGAACTTCCCAAATTTAGTAACTTGATTTTTGTCTTTTTCACTTACCACCTATAATATGTTCCCCATAATGTTTTTGTATCTAAGCATTGTTATACTTAGAACTGTAAGTTTTTTTAAATTAGTTCTATTTTATCTTATTTACATAAGAGGCGCTCTGGTGGCTTAGGTAAAGAATTGTGCTGCCAACCCACAGGAACAGGGTTTGAATCCACCAGCTGCTCTGCAGGAGTAAAATGGGCACTCTCCGCCTGTGGGATTTACTGCCTCTGAAAACCTGCTGCAGGTCAGCTATGAGCTGGTTCCAACTCAAGGGTCCATAACAACAAAATACATAAAATAAAAAAACACATAAATACCTACCTATTAAGATAACAATATTTTCATTTATGAATCAACTTGAGCCATTTTTGTGGCAACAACGACCCTCTTTGGGAAACACAGTCTGAGTATCTAGTGGCTGATGGCATGAGATGCGACAGTTTCAGCTGCAAGCAGGGACTCCCTTTACAATCTGACTTGGCTCTCCTTTCAGGGTGCAGGCCCAGAACTGGAGGGCAGCACCCAGGCGTGGCAGAAACGGCGCTCTTCAGATGATGCTGGTGAGGATGGCTGTCCTCAATCCTCTCCTTTGACCATTCTCTCAAAGTCTCCTCCTCATTTACCTTTCCTTCTTTCCCACTTCCATTTATAGGGCCTGGAGCCTGGAAGCCACCGCCTCCCCCGCAAAGTACCAAGCCGAGCTTCAGTGCCATGCGTCGAGCAGAGGCCACGTGGCACATAGGTATGGAGCGTCTCTGCTCTGGCAGGCAGCCGCACCAAGGGCCCTGGGTGTGTCCAAAGAAACAAAAGTGATGACCCTGCCTTGGGAAATTTACAACCACGGTGGAGCCCTGAAAAGTCAACACAGTGAAAACGTTTAAGGATGTTTACAAAGCTACATCAAAAAGAGATGTAATAACCCAAGCCTAAGCAACATTGTAAAGTAGCCCCTTCCCTCCCTTTGCCATTTGCTTTGTGATTGGTTCAAAGGAATCCTCTCGGGTACATGGCACTTCCAGTTGCTCTCTTCAAAGTGACACCTCTAGAAGGAAAGCCTCTCTCCTTGGCTGCAAAGAGGGTGGTCAAAACAAGAGTCTAGCAAGTGCCAGGTACACCAGGCCCCCTCAGGTATTGCAGCCCCTTCCAAAAGCAGCTCACCAGACCATCCTCGTGACTCGGAGAGATGCTCCCGAGAAGCACAGACGTGATCACAAGCCCTGGCACGGAAGTCACAAGGCTTGGTATTAACTCCAGGTCAACCACACACCAGCTGTGTTGACTTTTAAACACGTCATTTATCTTTATGGCTCCATGACTTTAGAAGAATAAAGGGGAGGGAAGATTATTTCAGGTATGAGGCTTCCCTTCTGCAGCGGTCAGAGCACCTTTCACTTTAGGAAAAGAAAACTAGAGAAAAGCTGGTCAAGTCACTCTCTACTTAATTTCTCACTGATTTGGAATATGATCCTCCAAACTTGTGACATGGACAATATCTCCCTGTAGACCTGGAGAGCCCCCCACCTGCTCCATCCCCACCCATCCAGGCTAGGGCATCAGAGCTGGAATGAACCATGAAATGGGCAGACCAATGTGGTGGGGTCCCTGCCACATGATCCCCTATACTGTCCTGCTCTGCCCTGTCCTGCTTCTCCCTCCCTCATGCTGCAGAGACAGGCTGGGCCTGAGAGGCTCAGCAGTGCCCATGCTACTGGCCCATCTTCCAAGACCAACACAACTCTTAAGGCGTCTTTGCTGATTTTTCCCATCCCTCTCAGAGCATGGCTACACCATCCAAAACAGGGCTCCATCCTTCATTTCATTTAGAAGACCACAGTAGTCAGATCTTATCCTCACCACACCCCTGCTGCCAGCAGCCCCAAGGCCTCTAGGCCTCACTCCTTGGATACTCACAGAAACAACATACTCCAGGGTCACCACTCAGGCTCCCAGTGCATAAGCTGTGGAGACAGAGGGAGGGGTGTACCTTCAATACTCTTCCCATCATCTCTGTCAGACAGAATTTTGGGAATGCCAGGCTGCAGCTTTGGCAGGGCCCAGCACACTGCAGCCCTGAATGGGCAGCTGTGTCTGTGGACCTAGCAAGCCCTGGCTGTGCCCCAGCAGGAAAGGACTTGCCCTACTCTGCAAGCAGGGTAGCCAGACCAGAGACCTTATTAGAGGTGACGAGCTCAGATGATCCCAAGACCAAGGGCTAAGGAAACGTAGGAGAGGAGCACATTGAGGCAAGAGTTAATGGGACCAAATGGAAGGGTAAAGTCCTGGTATCCAGAATTTCAGTGGGAAAGGGGGTGGGAGGTTGCTATGCCAGACCACCTTTTCCTGCAGCTTCTCCTCTCTTGCCACCCCCAGCTGAGGAAAGTGCTCCCAACCACAGCTGCCAGAGCCCAAGCCCGGCCTCCCGAGATGGGGAAGAGGAAAAGGAAGGGACCCTATTCCCAGAGAGGACAGTTCCAGCTAGGAATGCCAAGGTGAGGGCTGGCAGGTGGGTGGGGCAGGTCCCCTGGCAAGGCAAGTAGACTAACCAACCTGGCATCTCCTTTCCTCCACCACCTGCAGGAGCCCCCTTTAGTTCCACGCCCCCCCAAGCCAGTGGCTGTGCCTAGGGGCCGCAGGCCCCCACAGGAACCAGGGTGCAGGGAGGAGGTTGAAGCTGAGAGTGCTGTCCCAGAAGTGAACAAACCTAGGCTGCGCCTAGGGTCACAGCAAGACCAAGAGGAACTGGAGGCCCAAGGTCAGCCACACCCCCCCCAAGGCTAGTAGGAGAAGGGGGGTGTCAGGACACCTCTGGGCTCTTGCTGTGGACCTCAGCTCCGCTTCTGGTATGAAGCAAGCAATAGGCTCAATATGTGGGAACTCATGTTCCAGGCCCACTTCAACTGTCATTTCAGTGCCCCCGGATCCAGGCCGCAGGACTGCCCCACTGAAGCCCAAGAGGACTCGGCGTGCACAGTCCTGTGACAAGCTGGAGCCTGATCGGAGACGGCCCCCTGACCCCCCAGGTAGCAGTGGGGAAGGTGAGAAGTGGGATATCATCGCCCACCTATCTGTCCAACTTGCTCCACCCCATCCCCCACCCCATGGCTGTTTCTCCCTGCCCAGGAAACAGCGCTTCCTGAATTTATCCCCAGCAGGAACCAGTGAACCAGGAACAGACTGACAGCCGCTGAGACACCCTCTCCAGCCCTCCTCTCTACATGTGCCTCACAAGGACTCACCCCCATTCACCCCTATGCTCCCAGGCTTCCCTGCCAGCCCCCTAGGCCCACAGGGGCAGGGCGAGGCTTAAGAGGAGCAAGAGGTGGGGGACAGGAAGGGAGGGAGCAACCTGGAGAGAGGGGTGCTCACTGCCTCACTCTACAGAAAGACTGGGGTGGGGGCCTATCTCCTGCCTCCCCCAGGAAGGCGGATCTCTGTCCCTCTAGCCCCAGGGGGCTCTCTCCCCACTTGTACAGAATAAAAAAACAAAATCACTACCTGCCTCAAGTCTGCTGCTTTCCCCACTCACTGGCCCCACCTCTCACCATCTGTTCCTCTTCTCACAAGCCCCCAGAGCTTTGGCTACAGTTGAGGAAAATGGAAGGAATAGGGCTGGATCTCTGAGAGCAGAAGAGGGCAAAGAGCTTTCACAGAACCCTAGAAAACTGCCAGATAGAAAGGGGACTGACAAGTCACCACGCCAGGTTGGGTGTTTGTCCAGGGTCAGGGCTCAGTGGCTGGAGAAGGGACAGAAATGACAGAAGCCTACTCTGCTGTGTGCCCTACTTGGGGGAGTGTGGTGAAGTCAGAAGGCTCCAGTGTGATTGGTAGAGACTGGGAAGAATGTAAAGTGTGTGAGAGTGTGTGTGTGTGTGTGTGTGTGTGTGTGTGTGTGTACTCACACATACTATTGGTAGAACGAAATGGTATGATGTGGTATCATCCTAGGGGCACCATCATTACTCAGCTCTCCACACAACAGACTGGCCTGGGGATGAGCAGAAGTGCTCACGGTGTGAACAGATCACGCTAATTGCTTCCCCTCGGTTTACTAGCAAACACTACCTTGGCATTCAGGACTCCAATCAAAGGCCCTCACTGAGGACCTTCCTGATGCCCTCCTCCTGCTCATCCAATTAAAAACCCTCCTCCACGGTGCCACCACTGCATCCTGAAGGGGACTGCGACTGCACCTGTCACACCAAATTACATTTGTGTGTTGGCCTGTCACCTCTCTGCATGTGTAAGTCCCTCCTCCAGGGGCAGCTGCTGTTTTAATCACCTGTGTCACCCCAGCCCATGGCTGGGCTGACATCCAGGAGATGCCCCGTGAGGCTGCTACCTTAACGTAGAAGTCCCTGAGTGGTGCAGTTAATACATTTAGCTGGTAAGTGATAGGTTAAAAGTCCAAGTTCACCCAGTGGCACCTTGAAAGAAAGCCCTGGTGATCTATCAACTGCTGAAAAATGAGCCACTAAAAGCCCTACAGAGCCCAATTCTACCCCGACACACCTGGGATATGAGCACTGGAAGGTGATGGTCCTGGAGAAAACTCTTGAATCCTCATCCAGATCATCATGTATCCACATGGGACTTGCAGCTCTTGGGCAAATTGCTCACTTTCCTTGGCCTCAACAGGGAATGAATGATGTCATATTTCCTTAAGATCTGTAGGTGGCATGGCCCGTCCTTCAAAGATGTGCCCATATGGACTGAATTAGGGTGGGAGGGGTTGGAACATGCACTGAGGGCACCAGGAAGATGCACAACCCCCACCCACCGTGTGTACGGCAGTTCTCCACTCTTCAGGGAGTTGCATGACCAGGATGTGAGATTATGTATCCTTAAGAAATTATGTCCATTTCTTTGTCATCTATAAAAAGTTGTCTAGGAAACCAGGCATCATTCTTGAAATGTGAGCTTTGCATGACACAGGATGGCTTTTTAAGGTGTCCGTGAAGATATACTTTCTGAATGCTGAGTGTGTGTGTGTGTGTGTGTGTGTGTGTGTGTGTGTGTAAAAGAAAAAAAGAAAGAGAGAGGGAGAGAAATATATTTCAGTGTTCTTTTCATTGTGACTATGAATATCCTTAACAAGTGTAATGCTGAATGTGTTGGAGATTGGGTGTGTTTCCTTTCATGTATCCGCGGGGCTAAAACTGTCATGGTGTCACAGTAAGTTTACATACCAGTGCCTGCGTGTGTCAAGCTATGTGTGAATCTATGAGTTGTGGGTGCTTATGTCCCCACCGTTTCTCTCTCTCTCTCTCTGTGTGTGTGTGTGTGTGTGTGTGTGTGTGTGTGTATACCCTCATGAACCACTGCAATGTGTGCATCTCTGTGATTCTGGGTGTGGGTGTGGTGTGAAGGGGAAGATGTATGTCATTGTGTCTGTGGGGGGCCTGCCTCTGAGGCACCCCCAGCCCTACCTCCTCTCCCGGTTCTGTGGCTTCCTCCCAGGCGGTGGCCCTGCCCCTCATCTCTCTTTTCCCTCCCCGCCTGGTCTATGCGGGGGGAGCTGGTGCTGCGGCCCCCCCACCCCTCCCCATCCAGGCCCCATAAATAGCAGCAGAGCCGGAGCCGGAGCCGGCGCCAGCGGCTGGAGCAGCAAGGGATTCGGGCCAGGGCCAGAGAGCCAGAGAGAGGAGCCCCCGACAGAGCGTGCAGGTGAGCCCACCCTTCCTCCCCAGCCCAGCCCTGGCCTGGCCTAGCCTGGCCCAGTCTCCATAACAACATCTCTCTTAGGCCCCAGAAAGGTCTCCAGCCTTGCCCAACCCCTTACCATCACAAGCCCTTGCCTATCTGAGGGGTCCCACGAGCATTTGGAGACTGGTGGCTAGAAGGCAGAAAACCCCTTCCGGCCCGCACCCTTCCTCACATATCCAGAAAGGTGCACGCTATTAGGAGGTGGGCATCAAGCCAGGGAAGGTTCCACTTCTGAGAGAGTTACAGAAATGATCAAACGCTCCTAGAGACAAACATACGACCAGAGACAAACGCACAAGGTGGGGACACTCAGACATACCAATGCAGTCAGTGGTGGAAGTACGACACAGGAGCAGACAGCCTCACCCTGAGATGTGGACATAGATAAATGGACTGACCAGCCATGAACTTGGGCCAGCGTACCCCTGCCTGCCGCTGCCTGAGGCTTGGTCCCACTGGGGGAGGGTGGCAAGCATACATCCCACGGTCAACACGGAGGGGGCTGTGGCTCCCCCAAAATCCTGTCGCTAAGAGACGGTGCCAGTGCTGCCAAGAACTGTGAGAAGATGGGAGGTGGGGAAAGATGCAAAGCTTGCCATAGTGGAAGCCCCTGTCAGGAACCTCAAGATCTTTCAGAGGGCCCATCCCCTAACACCCCAAAGCCACCATCTCACCTTTCCCTTAGCCAGGCAGGAGGGAGTTGGGGGTGTGAACGGGAACAGCCCAGCAGGGTCCCCTCCAACCTGTCTCCGCCCACTGCAGACTCCATTGCTCTTCAGTCCTCCAGGGGCCTCCTCACCCCCTTCCCCACCCCCTTGCCCCAGTTTAGCTCCCTCGTGCCAAGACTGAGTGCAGTTCTGGCTCAAACCTTGGTTGGGAAGTAAGCACAAGGTGCTGAGGCAGCAGAAAGTAAGGATCAATCAATGACTCCGGGAGACAGGACTGCCAGGAAACTCCCAACAGTCAAGCCCTCTCCAGCCCCACCCACAGAGGCACGTCCAGGCCCCGGGGAAGTGACAGAAGCACAAGGGGTCCTGGGCAGGAGTAGAGGTTCAGGTCCTCTGCCTACCCTGCTCAGAACTCCAGAAAGGCCAAGCAGAGGAAATGGGGGCCTCGGAATAGATGTTAGTGGAATGGGGCCCAGAGCCCAACGGAGTCCCCAACTCAAGACCCTAAAGTCCTGATCAGAGGGGAGGACTGAATCCTCCCTCCCCTGACAAGTGTCTCTCTTTTGCAGAGTCTAGGCCTATCTATTCATCTCCATAGTGGCATGTCAGACCCTGATATGGAATGGGTACCTGAGCCCCAGGCCATGACCCTGGGGGCCTCCAGGGTGGAGCTGAGAGTGTCCTGTCATGGCCTCTTGGACAGAGACACACTCGCCAAGCCCCACCCCTGCGTGCTGCTCAAACTCTACTCTGATGAGCAGTGGCTGGAGGTGAGAGTAGCTTCATTACCCTTGGGTCTGGGAAGAAGGGAGGGTGGTGGGGCTGTGAAAGCCTGGAGGGGAATGAGAGGCCTTTTCTGGTTGCCATGGAGATGGGTGTGCCATCATTAAAAACATACACCACTTTCCAGCTTCTAAAGCCCACAGTCCCAGAGGGTCTCAAGATAGAGCTTCAAATAGGTCCCAAAGGCCTTACTGTGAGGCCAGCGGCATTAAGCTTGGGGTTTAACCCAGGAAGGGAAAAGCGAGCTGTGGAGGATATAGGGGACCAAGGAGAGTTGACATAACCAAGGAGGTCCTGGGTGGGGAAAGCAGCCTCAGTCTCCAGAGGTGGTCCTTCCCTGCCACAGGTGGAGCGCACAGAGGTGCTGCGTTCCTGTTCCAGCCCTGTGTTCTCCCGAGTGCTGGCCCTTGAGTATTTTTTTGAGGAGAAGCAGCCCCTGCAGTTCCATGTGTTTGATGCTGAGGATGGAGCCACGAGCCCCCGAAATGACACCTTCCTTGGCTCTACAGAATGTACCTTGGGCCAGGTCTGTATTCCAGCCCTACCCTTCTACCTTCTGCCCCCAGGAACCAAAATGAGCTCTGGAGCTAGTTCAGTTGGACATGGATTCCATCTCCAGCATTCACTGACTGTACAGGCTTGGATAAAATATATAATCTTTCTGAGTATCTGTTTCTTCATCTAAAAGATGAATGTCACTGTGCCCGCTTTTTAAGGCTGCTGTGGAAATTAAATTTAACCCTGGCCAAATCCTGTGGTATACAATCTCTGTTGTGTATCTTGTGGTCACTCAAAAGGCACTTACTATTCTGCTTATCCTATCCTGGCCATAGCAGGTGGACACTTCATAGCTGAGTCTCCGTCCCCCACCCCCCATCTCCTTCCCCAGATCGTGTCACAAACCAAGGTCACTAAGCCATTACTGCTAAAGAACGGAAAGACAGCGGGCAAGTCCACCATCACGGTAGGCAAGCCACCAGTACTCACCCTTGGGCCAGGCATTCCATGACCCCGGATGGAAACACAGAGTGATAGTCACTCCCAGGGCTCCATCTCACCTAAGGAAAGAGACACACAGGAGGGGAGGGCATTGTGGGGCTGGAGGAAGATGAGGAAAGATGCTGCCCCCTATGTTTGCCTTACAGATTGTAGCTGAGGAAGTATCTGGTACCAATGATTATGTTCAACTCACCTTCAGAGCCCATAAGCTGGACAACAAGGTCAGAACCCCGGAGTCTGAGCCCTCATGTCTTTCCTTAAACAGCCCAAGGCTCCCACTCAGAGACAGACCCTTGGGTCCCAGCACCACCCCCTTTCAGAGTTTTCCCCCTTCCTGACCCTCCTTACAGACCTCACCAGACTCATGAGCCCTTTCTCCTGTCTCCTCAGGATCTGTTCAGCAAGTCTGACCCTTTCATGGAGATCTATAAGACCAATGGAGATCAGAATGACCAGCTGGTCTGGAGGACTGAGGTTGGTGCCTGGCGCTGTCGGGGTGGAGGAAAGGAGAACTTGGGAGGGAAACCTAGACAGAAAGCTGTCAGCTCCCTGGTGCTTCTCCAAGGTGGTGAAGAACAACTTGAACCCCAGCTGGGAGCCATTCCGCCTGTCCCTGCACTCCTTATGCAGCTGTGATGTCCACCGGCCTCTCAAGGTGAAGCAAGGGAAGTCCAGTGAAACCCTCCCCACTAAGTGTAGCCTCCTACTGCTCCCCCATCAGCCATGTGTTAAGACTCCCCCACTATGTCACAGCTCAGTACAAGCTTCCTACATGTATGCCCTGATCAAAACCCCAAATCCCTACCAAATTGAGCCAAAGTACAGAGTTCGTCAAGTGGCCTTTCTGGAAAATGGGAAAAGTCTGCCTGAGCCCAACGACTGTTGGGCATCAACATTCCTGAGTCCCTCCTCCCCATCCCAATAGGAGCCACTGCAAAACATGCCCTAACCATGACCCCACCCCCTCCCTCATTCTCAGTTCCTGGTATATGACTATGACTCCAGTGGGAAGCATGACTTCATCGGCGAGTTCACCAGCAGCTTCCAGGAGATGCAGGAAGGGACAGCGAACCCTGGGCAGGAGGTGCCTAAAGATCCCTTCTTATCTCCCCTCCCCTGAATTCCACCTGGCTGCCTGGGAGAGTCTGGGGGTGATGCTGAAGAGCCTCTGTAGGTGGAGAAGAGGTTGTGAGGGTAGAAAGCACCTTGACTCAGCCTGAGAACTGAGCTGTGGGAGGGTCTTGCTCTGGGAGGTGCTAATGGAAAGGGTAACAATGGCTACCTGATGACACTGGGACCCTGGGCTTTGGGGTGGGGTGGGGTCTAGATGCAGTGGGACTGTATCAACCCCAAATACCGGGACAAGAAGAAGAATTACAAGAGCTCAGGAACTGTAGTGCTGGCCCAGTGCACGGTAATCCCCAAAGTCATGTCCCAGCTCCTGCCTCAGCCCTACCTCCTGTCCCTACCACAACCTCAGATTCGGCCCTTCCTTGTCGCAAAGATCCCACTCTCTTTGCTTCTGGAAACTAGGGACTTTTGCCCTCTCCCTTGCCCAAGTTCAACCTCTGACCCATTCCCCACAGGAATCCCACTCAGTCCCCTCTTAAAAGTATCTTCCCTCCATTTTGTCCTCCATCTTCTCAGGTGGAGAAGGTGCACACCTTCCTGGACTACATCATGGGTGGCTGCCAGATCAGCTTCACGGTAAAGGTCCTAAGGCTAAAACCCAGGGCATAAACAGGAAATTGATAATACAATGAAACGAGGGGTGCAGAATCCCCACTGCCCCCTACTGGAGTTTCTCATAAACTTTGACATTTGTCAGCCTCTATCTCATATCAAGACTCCCTGTAGACTCCTCAGATTCACCCCAAGTCCTCCCTTTAGGTCCTGTCTGTTGGCATTTGTAACTAGGACCTTGACCCACTTGTCCCCCTTCCACATTTCAGGTGGCCATTGACTTCACTGCCTCCAACGGGGACCCGAGAAGCAGCCAGTCCCTACACTGCCTCAGCCCCCGCCAGCCCAACCACTACCTGCAGGCCTTGCGTGCAGTTGGAGGGATCTGCCAGGACTATGACAGGTAGGAGGAGGTGGACGGGGGGGCAGCCAGGGAGGCCTTGCCTGATGGGCGCTGCACAGCATTTTCTTCTCCCCAGTGATAAACGATTCCCAGCATTTGGCTTTGGGGCTCGAATTCCCCCCAACTTCGAGGTAGGCTGGGTGCCAGGGGAAGGGAAGAAGGTCAGACAGGAAGGCAAGGCATCCTGTCACCACCTGCTCCTCATCCTCACAGGTGTCCCATGACTTTGCTATCAACTTTGACCCAGAAAATCCTGAATGTGACGGTAAGAGGGGAGATTTCCACCAGCCACGTCCTCAACCTCCCCACACACCCTTCTTGCCCATGCCTTCACACCCTGGTCAGGAGCACAGAACCCATCCCCATGGGCCCAGGTCCCACAGTCTTATAGGCCAAGCTCCCCGCTCCTTTCACTTAAGACTTTTCTTCATTTGGTAAGATTTCCAGTCCCACCTCCTACCATCTGCCCACCCACCTCTCACTTTACTCTATGAGGAACTTGGAAGGGAAGATTCCCAAGACAATTACGAGGGCCTCTGGAGGGAACCACATTCTCTAATACGTCAGAGTGAGCAAGTGGCACCAAAATAACCCTAAGGGCCAGTGGCATTGCCAGTGGTCAACTCTACAGGGGGAAGGGCCACCAGGGCAGTAACGCCATTAGAATCAGTGTCACCCATCACCCAGAACAGTTCTCTCCTTTCCCTTGTCGCTCAGTACAGTAACTGCCACACCTGCCAGGCAAAGGGGGACCCACAACCCCCACTGCCATTGTATGGAGAGAAGTGTCTCTCTGCCTTGGCCAGGTGGAGAAAGGAGCTGGGAGGGGATGGCCAGAAGGGTAGGGTGGGAAGGGGATCTCTGCCTACCAAGAGTGAGGTTTGCTGGCACTGCACACTATTGCAGGGGGGACACCATGAGTTCTCACCACTGGTGATACCATCCCTAGTGATGTCACCATCCTGAGATGTTTGCTCCCTAATGATCTCTGCCAGTTTCTTCTTCTGTTCACTCACAGAGATCTCCGGAGTCATTACTTCCTACCGTCGTTGCTTGCCCCAGATCCAGCTCTATGGACCCACCAATGTGGCCCCCATCATCAACCGTGTGGCCGAGCCCGCCCAGCGGGAGCAGAGCACCGGCCAAGCCACGGTGAGCGGATAGAGCAGGCAGCCTCCTCCGTGTGTTCTCGGGCTGCCTCAGAACCTGCTTGGGGACCAGCTTCATGGCCCTCGCACACAGAGCCCGCACTTCCTCCCTTTCTGCCTGACCTCAGAAGTACTCAGTGCTGCTGGTGCTCACGGATGGTGTGGTAAGCGACATGGCTGAGACCCGGGCTGCCATCGTCCGTGCCTCCCACCTGCCCATGTCCATCATCATCGTGGGCGTGGGCAATGCCGACTTCTCAGACATGCGGCTGCTGGATGGCGATGATGGCCCCTTGCGATGCCCTCGAGGTGTGCCCGCAGCCCGCGACATTGTCCAGTTTGTGCCCTTCCGGGACTTCAAGGATGTGAGTGCTTCCTATGCTCCTAAATCTGATTTGTCTGTTCCACCTGGTTTATTCCAGGGAAGCAGACTGGAGCCCCAGAGCCCTGGCCCTCCCTCACCTGACCACCCCTCCCCTGTCCACGCCCCTCACCCTATCTGCTTCTACCCCTAGACGCCACCCTCAGCGCTAGCTAAGTGTGTCCTGGCAGAGGTGCCTCGGCAGGTGGTGGAGTACTATGCCAGCCAGGGCATCAGTCCTGGGGCTCCCAGGTCTTGCACTCCGGCCACAACACCCAGTCCTAGTCCGTGATTCCATCCACCGGACCAACACCCCCCTTCAGCCTCTCAGTGAGTTGGAGGTGTCAGCGGTCCAGGGCAGTGGGGACCAGAGAATGTAAGGAGGCCTCAGCTTGGCTGAGTGTGATGGGGAGGCTATCTGTGACTGTACTGATTCCTCCCAGGTGCCTGTCCTCACCCTTGTGACTCAAGTGACCAGTGCCTCACCTCTTGGACAAGATGTGCTCCTCTAGGTCCTAGAAGTAAGTGGTGGGCCCTGCCCCCACTTTTCCAGGCTCCACACCCCAGCCTTGTGGTCCCTTGGTGACTTCCTTCAGTAATCCTTACTTTCTGACCTTTAATAAAGGAAATCATTCTAAGCACCTCAGCATCTGCCTGTCAAGCTTCAGAGAGCTATTGGGCAATCTGTAGCACTGATTCCTCATCCCTCCCTTCTCACTTCCCTCCTACACACACACACACACACACACACACACACACACTGAGGACCAGCACTCTGAAATCTAAGCCAGAGCTCTTCAAGCAGCCTATTATCTCTGCAGGCTCTCCTAATCTTGTGCTTATAGGGTCTGAGGAACGTCCACCCTCACCTCCAACCCCTAGGCATCATAGGGGTTAATTACAGGAAATGAGGGTGGGTAATAAGGGGCTGTCAAGAGGGCAGGCTGATGCCCTATTACAGCCATCTCCAGAGAAATCCAGCTGAGCCCCCCACCCAGGGGCTGAACCCCAGTCCCCACACAATGGGTGGAGATTGAGAAGGGCAGAGCTGCTAGTGCATTAGGGACATAAAGTAGTCATCCAAGGTTCTCAGAGATTGATATTCCTGGGTATATGGATGTGTATGTTCATAGCTTTGAATCCTTGACTCTCCCCATAGTATGGCATTAATGGTTTAGGAATTCAATTAGTATACTGTTAATATGTTCAGAGCAAATACTGTTCAACACGTGTCAGGTTCTGTGCCAAGATCGTTCAATGCATTCACTTTCCTTCAGACAAAGTAAATGGAGCTTGATTGTCATTCACCAATGGCCTTAGAACTGGTAGAACTAGAACTTGAGCTCAGCCCTATCAGGCTCCACACCCATACTTTTAATCACTGTAGTGTGTAACATCTATTTGAGGTGTACTGACATGACCCTCATCTTGAGACCTAGGTGTTTGTGTAAGTGCCCTAGTTGTGTGTTCAAATGTACACATCTGTGGATGGCATTTCTGCTATGTGTGCCATGTACGGCCTCCCTCAAGTAAGGAAGGTGTACAAAAGTAGTAGTGGGTCTAAAGAGCAGGTGAGGATATGGATGGAATTCAGATTGAAGGAAGAAGAGCTGGGCTTCTGGTGGAATTCCTCTCTGCCCCAGTCTATCTCTTCAACTATGAGGATTGAAAGGGGATGACTTAGCTAAAGGCACTATGACACCTCCCCTCAGAGAGAAGATCCAGAACCACAGAGGACAGCCAGTAGCATCTGCTGTGGTGGGGAAAGGAGAGGAGAGAGAAACTCTCAGGAAAATGGTGCAAGGACTCCCATCACAGGCTGAGTGGAGGAGGAATGAGCTGGGCTACAGGAGGGGGAGGAGGGAACAAGAACAGTGATGGGCAGAGCAGAGACATCTGAGGAGGGGGTGGGGGAGCAGAAAGGAAGAGAGACATATGGGAATCTCCTTCCCCCACATTTGCCCATATTTTATGTCCCTTAGAAGCCAAGACAGAAACTAGTATAAGGTATTTGCTCCTAATTCAGTGACCACTCCAGGTTGGTGCCTCTGTCTGCGCTGAGCCCCCCCTCACCCTCCTCCTAGGCTGCTGAGCTAGAGAACTGAGTTACCATGGCAACTGTGAGGCCTCTCAGATAGCCATAGGCAGACCAGGCTGGGCCACTGTTCCAGGATGTCCACGTGGTGGTGGTGGGAGGGGAAAAGCACCATCTGGGCCAATCCCTACCACTCCACGCCATTTTTATTGGCACTCCAGAACTGACATAGCAACTCAGCACTGGGTAGGAACTTCCCACTTCATAACTCTTTCATACACATACACATACGCAAACACAAACACAGGGAGAGGGGGTAAAAGCAAACAAATGGTAAAATAGTAGCCTAGAGCCAGGATAAAGAATGAATACTTCTTTAATTGCAAGAGCATTAAGTCAGTAGCATTACAGTTCTACTGAACTTCAAGCTTAATTCACAAAGCTTAATTTTCTCAGCTTCTTCACATCCTGGGAAAAGTCTCACCTCAGTCCTTGGTCTGGCAGCAGATACAGCCTGGAGCAAGCATCACCGGAGCAATGTGTATGTGCTCAGAGCTCTGACACTTCCTCACCTGAGCCACTTACCCCAATGCCTAGACCCTCTCTGGAAGCCGGAGCAGGATAGAAGGTCCTTTTGGTGCAATTCTTTTGGGGAGTTCTTAGAGAGGCCATTGGGACTTCCGCAGAAGACTCAGATGATGTCAGAACTGGGAAAGTGTCAGAAGTCATCCAGTCCAAATGAGGGAGGATTAGGTGAGGCAACTGAGGCCCATGAACCAAGGATCTACTCCAAGCGGCAGGGCTGGAACTAGCACCCATTCTCCAGACTCCTGCCAAGGGCTCTCTCCCAGTCACACCAGCACCCCCAGAGCTTATGTCTCAGACTTTGCTGAGGCTTTAGGCCCTGATAGCTGCTAGGCTAGTCTGTCTTAACTACCTGGAATAGAAATCTTGGAAAGTCAGCACAACAGCCCTAAAATCGGAAAGTCACAAGCTCGGAACACAAACACAGCCTCGTTGCTAATTACCACCTTAAATAAAGCACTATAGGTTGAAAACCTTGAATTGGCTCAGAGGAAGAAGTGGGCGTGGTCCCCGGACCCCGGGCCGCTCGATGTTAGCCGGTCACAGCGAGCCTTGTAAAGGTCGCGCTCCCGAGCCAGGCGGGCCACCTCGGCCCGCAGCGCGTCCAGCTGTGCAAGCAGCCGGGCGCGCTCGGCCTCCAGCCCGCGCCGCTGCTGCAGCCGCTTGGAGCGACAGGCCTGCGCGTAGCCTCGGTTCTTCAACGTGCGGCGTCTCTGCTTCAGCCGCAGCGCCTCGTCGCGCCCACAGCCTCTCAGCTGTCGGTTGAGTTCCCGCACAGACATCGACACCAACGCTGCGTCCGAAAACCGCTCGACCAGCTGCAAGGGGGCGAGTGCAGAGACCCCATCAGGTCTACACGCAGGTTGGGACTCCAGCTGGCACCACCCCGGGGAGAGGCCCGCACCAGCTCACGCCTCTTCCGAAGGCTTGAACTTTATAGTCTTAACTCACAGTCCAGAGCCTGCCCAGGTCTCAACACCACGAAGGAGTCGAGGGGAGAGACCCCACTGGCCGGTGGCACAGGCCCGTTGTCCCCTTAGGCCCGCCCCTCGTGCAGGCCCCGCCTCCCGCGGTGAGCGGAGCCCCCACGCCCTTGGCACTTGAACCCGCAGAGCCGAGCCATCGCTAAGGCCTTGGAGGCTCTCGGTGGACAGTAGGCCCCACAGACAACCCTCTTCTGTCCTGAATGCCACAACCGTGTGACCCTTAAAGGATTTGGATTACATCCTAATGCCCTCAACACCCCCATCTGTGTCTGTAATTAATAGGATGAATCAAAATCCCTCCTGAGAAGGTTGCTGGCTGAGGAAGTAGCCAATCTTGAAAAGGCCAACTTCCTTTCAGTTCCCACAATCTTAACCCTACTCTGTGCTACACAAAAGTTTTCTCTGGTTTTTACCCACTATGTGCTTATTTATCTCCCTGTAACTGTCAACTCCCTAACTATTAATTAAATCTCAATCCCTCCCCTTTTCTTCTAATTGCATCTACTCCCAGCTCCTAATTCAGCCCTCTAAAGGGTAGAGCAGAATGTACACATTTTCTTTATTTCTTTCAAGGACTTTTCCCCCCTTTCTTCTCCTTCCTTCCCTAACTCTTTCCTTAATCTATACCCTCTCCTTTCTCTTAGTCTTCCTCCTCCCTCAGCCTGCCTCCCCCCTCAGACTACCCTCTCACCTGGTCATGCTGGGCTCCTGAGTCCTCTGGGCTCTCTGGGTAGTAGCCTTGGAGCCCCTCAGCAGAGACTGAGCCCTGGCCCTGCAGCAGCTCCACAGCCTCCTCAGGACTCAGCCCCAGGGTCTCCCCAGCCCCCAGCTGCTGCTGCAGGGTAGCCAGCCAGTACAGCTCTTCAAGACCCGGCCTGGAGCCCTCAGCTGTCCCCACCACACCAGATTCACTGAAGGTGGGTGAAGGAGGCACTGAGCTGTAGGGTGTGGAGCCCAGTGAGGCCAGGGGGGCACCAGATCTCCCCTCAGGGGGCTCCCGCTTTACTTCGAACTTCATCAAATCAAAGTCATTGACATATTCCATGGCCAGAGGGCTGGGAGGCAATGCCATTCTGAAGCTGGATTGGAAGTGGTGGACCTGCACAAAAGAGGAGAGGTCTGGAGCATCTGAAAGCTGTCTTTCTGCTTCCTTCACCCAAAACCTGCTCCCTCTCACCCCAAAGTCTAAGTGTCCTAGAGCCAGAGCTTTGGAAACTAAAGTGTGATTGTAGCCCTATTCCCTGTACAGTCACCACCCAGTTCCAGAATTGGAGGGTAGGGTCTGCAACATTTGGGAGAAAAGGGCTCCTGAGAGGAGCAAAGTAGTCCAAAATCCTGATGGAAGGGGGCAGCATGGTCCCTGGCCCCACAGGTACCTCTGAGTAATGTCTACAAAAAACAAGAGCAATATGGCATGCTTCCAACCCTAGTGCTGGAATATGCTGAGAGACTATGCTATCCCAAGAGGCATCATTCCATTTACAAGCAATTTTTTAAATTGCTTAATTAACTGTGACAGAGTATGCGTGTATCTTAGAACATTGGGAAAGGACATTTGTTTTAAAATTTTTTAAGATATCAAAGGTAGTGTTCTATTATTGTTCACGTCTATCTCAAAACACCCAGGCCACTGCCTTACACAAAGAAGACCCTCAGTGTCCATCTGTTCTATGAATTAATGCAGAACAGTGGATCCTTTTAATAGAAGCAAGAGATTTTCCTATGAAAAATTCCATTCTAGAAAGACCAGCACTGAGTAGTAATCATCTGTCCCCAAGGCCAGCCTCTCCAAGGGAAATGTACCAAGATTGATTTTCCTTCTATTCAGAACCTTAACTGTTCTGATAGCCTGGAAGATCACCTTCCTCTTTCTGACTCTAGTTTTCTCTTAGTACAATTAGACTTTCTCAAAGTGTGTTCTGTGGAACACTCATTCTGAGCAATGCTCAAAAAGAGATCTGTGCTCAGAAATGTTCATAAACAGTACTCTTGGTGCCTACCTCCAGGGAGCTCCAGTGGCTTAGTGGTAGGGAGTTGTGTTGCCAACACAAAGGCACTTGGCTTGAGTCCATCAATCACAGAAATATGGGCTATCTCCTCCCATGAGATTTACTGGCTTCTGAAAGCCCACTGGAGGTTCAGCTATGAGTCATTTCTGACTTGATGGTACATAACAACAACACCTTATGTTCTTGTAGATTCACAAAGCATAGGCATCATATTCATTTAAGTCCTTCAGTTCATCTTTAACACAGACTGTCCCAAATTCTTGTCACCAAGAATGAGAGATTCTTTCTCTTACCAACCATGGAACAAACCTTATTCAGAACAAGCCTTAGGAACTGCCCCCCTCAGTAGATGACCTCAGAAAGCCTTCCTAGCCTGGAAATCCCATGCTCTGGCCCAGCTCCCGGTTCCAGCAGCTTCATTCTCATTCTCAGAAGGGGTAAAGCAGGGAGTGGTCATCCTCAGAGCTTAGAGTTGGACTCCCCTTTGATGTCCCAGGCCTAAGTAGCAGTCTTTCCTACTCACAGCACAGACTTCCAGGCTCTGCCCAGATCAGTAGGAAGAACCAGAAAACTCATCACTTTCTGATCCAGAAAAAGATTGTTAGTCCTACCTCTGGGAGGGTAAAGATGATAGGGGCAAAGATGTATAAGAAACTTAGTTGGGAAGGAGCTAGCAAGACACTAAGAGAGAATGACTAAAATGTATTAGGAAGAAATGGATATAAAGGGAGAGGGAAGAGGGAGAGTTCTTTATCTTTCTGATGTGATGATAAACCAGTCAGGGTGAGAGTAAGGCAGAATACAGAAATGTGAAGATTCAAAAGCTGAGAGGAGACAGCAGGTGTCAAAGAATGGTTTGTAGGTGAGAGATCTGGTGCCCAGGCAGGCAAAGGGACATACTCACTTGAAAGTTGGCAGAGATGATGTGGTTAGTGTCAGAACCAGACAGGCACAGCTTCTTCCAAGACTGGGGGCCCCATTGAGCAGGGCCTGGTGCCTGTGTGCTCAGAAGGGTCTGTGGGCACAGAGCCCAAAGGGAATTCTTAAAGGGCCAGTGCTCTGAGGTCACCTGTGGTCCTCAGACCTCCAGCCAATGAGGTAAGGGGTAAATTTGCATATTCCATTGGCCTTGGATGGGGGTGGGAGATTGAATGGGAAGAGACTAGAAAACTAGAAGACAAGAATTCCTCGTTCTGTAGGAAAGAGAGGGGAGTATTCTGCTCAACAAATCTCCTCAGCGATGTCTGACTAACATGTGCCTAGTCCCCTGTACACAGAGCCTCATTGGCTCTTTCCCACTGCCTTTCCATGTGAACACAGGCCCCTCCGCTATTCAATGCCTAGGAATGGGAAAGAAGGGCAGACAAGCTTCTAGCATGCCCATATTCCATGGCAGTGCCTTTAAGGAGTATAAGTCTTTCCCAATCCATTCTCACCTGGCCTGAGGGGTCTCTTATACACCCTACGCTCACCCTGATGGAACTTATGCCCATCTCAGCTATCAAGTCAGAACAATAAACAAGCCTCCCCACGTAGATCTTCAGGACTTGACTAATCAATCCTCAGCCTCTCCCACCATTGCTGATCCAGCCCCAGTACAGGCAATGGCGCTTGGGAGGAGGGGCAGGAAAAGAGAATGGAGAACTTTGCCCCCTTCTGGGACACTGCAGAACACAATGTTTAATCACCACCAACCCAGCCAAGGCATTTTTGTAGCTGCCCTCATGTGCCCTCTGCTCCCTCTTGCCTTTTCCCTATGTCTGTCTCTGTCTCTCTCTCTCTTCCTCTCTCAGTCATCCTTGTTTCCAGATGGCTGAGGGGTGACCTACATATTCAGCCTAATCCTCTAACACCTCTTAGAGCTATCATCCCCAAGTGGGAGTTGGAACAGAGATACCAGGCATTAGCCAAGTTGTTTAAACCTGTCTGAAGCTGTTTAAATAGGGTCTATATTAGAATAGGACTCCAGGAATTAAAGTCTCTTACCTACCCTTTGAGGATCCAAACACTCCCATTGGGTTAGCTAGTCCTTATTCACAACCCATAGAAGAACTTAGGTGTCCATTAACCCTAAGAGTCATCAATCATACACATTAACTTAGTCTCAGCCTAGCCTTAGGTATTGAATAAAGACCTGTTAGCTCTAGAAAACCCAAGACAGGGATTTTCAAAGTGTGGTCCCTGAATCAGCAGCATCAGCATCACTTAGGAACTTGCTAGGAATGCAAATGCTTTATTTTTAAATCTGACTTTATAACTTTAATTTTCATGTCATTCATATGCCTTTGTTAAAAGTGATAAATGACAAATGTTCAATGATAAGAGTAGAAAATAAAGTTTAATACTGGTAGTACCTCGTTGTCTCAAGTATTATGTAGATAAATAGGAATGACATTATATCAAAAGCGAACTATATATTTGTCCAAATTGAACTGACCATTTCTCCAACATGTATGGCAAGTTGAATGCTGACCCTTCACAATTGTTACATTATCTTACATTATCAGTTTAATGTTTTTAATATACTGAAGGAGGTATATCCAATTAATTGTGTATTCATTGATCTGTAAGTAATTTTCCTTCCATACTTGGTGTTCACTCACTAAATATGTATATTTCAAATTAGTCTATGTTATCCAGTATCCCTTTATTCAGAAGCCTTATCTTCTGCCAAATATTTTGAAACATGAATTTTGAGTTATAAATGAGCATAGTAATAATCTTGATAATATGAAAAAAATTCAAATATTTATCTTTTAAAGTGTTAATCTTAGAAAGAACAAAACAACATTATCATCAGATCAATTTCCTGAACATCCCTTTAAGATAAATAATACAGCATGTCATACCTCCACATTTGCACACAGTTCCAATCCTCTTTTTACCTAGGCTATGGCCAATTAATTTTATTTTATCTGGATTCACAATCAGCATCATGGTAGCAACAGTCATGAAATCAAAAGATTTGTTGCACTCAGCAAATCTGCTGTCAAGGACCTCTTTAAAGCACTAAAGAGTAAAGATGTCAGTTTAAACACTAAGGTGTGCCTGACCCAAGCCATGATATTTTTAATTGCTTTCTGTGCATGTGACATTTGGACAATGAATAAAGAATAGCAAAAAAAGAATTGATGCCTTTGAATTATAGTTTTGTTGAACCATATTAACTATACTATGAAATGGCAAAAGAACAAACAAATCTATCTTGAAGGAAGTGCAGCCAGAGCGCTCCTTAGAGGCAAAGACAGTGAAACTTTGTCTCACATACTTTGGGCATGTTATCAGATGGCACCAGTCCTTGGATAAAGCATTATAATGGAGAAAGTAGAAGGTCAGCAAAAAAGAAGACGACCCTCACCAAGATGGATTGTCACAATGATTGTAACAATGATCTTCAACACAGCAGAGATTCTGAGGATGGCGTAGGAGACAGTAAAGTTTTGATCTGTTGTTTGTAGGGTCACTTTGAGTCATAGATGACGTGACCACACCTAATAACAACAGCATGGTCAATAGAATCTGAAAATATATCTCTCAAATCTTTGATCTGATAAGTAAAAATCAGTTCTTCTCCAGCACTCGTGGTTTTTGTGGAATACAATACAACTTGAGGAAAACAAGGATTGTGGTTATCAATGAAAGGAAAGCATTGAACTTGAAGATTTGGGTTACAATTATGATTCCCAAAATGAGATATATTTCCATATCAAGCTTCATCTACTATGAACTTATCAAAGTCATACTCTAGATCTAGGAGATATGTGACTCATTTGTTGTCATATAACTAACCTGTCTTCCAGCTTCTTTACTTGTGACTACTCCTTGAATGGATTCACTGCCATTCAAACTGGTGGTTGTCAGACAGGATAGCTCAGCCAGGGCCAATACCCTACCCCTCCTGTGATCCCTGTGGAACTCAGGAGCAGGCGCTAGAGATCTGGAACCCATAACACATCTTGATGTCCTGGAAATACAAATTCTTTGATCTTTCCTGCTATTGTTAGGTGTCTCCATTGAGTTGGCTTCAGTTCATAGCAACTCTGTGTACAATAGATTTAAATCTTGTCTGACCCTACACCATCCTCACAATTTCTGCTGTACTCAAGTTCATTGTCAGTCACTGTGTCTTCCTCTCGTGCCTTGACCCTCTACATTCCAAGCATCATGTCTTTCTCCAGGGACTGGCCACTCAAGTATGTGAATGAAGTTTCACTATCCTTGCTGTTAAGGAGTACTCTGATTGCAGTTGTTCTCACACAGATACGTTTGTTGATAGTCCACAGTATATTCAGTATTCTTTGTCAAGACCATATTCAAGGGCATCAACTATTCTTTGATCTTCCTTTTTCAATGTACAACTTCCATAGGCATATGAAGCAACTGAAAATGTCATGGCTTGAGTCAGATGCTCCTTAGTTTTTAAACTAACACCTTTGGTTTTTAGCCCTTTAAAAGAGGTCCTTAGTGGCAAATTTTACAAATGAAAATACGTCATTTGATTTTTGGGGGAGGAGTGTTTTTATATTTTTTAAATTTTATATTGATTTGCATACATTGTATTTCATTTTTGTACATTGTGTTTCACACTTTCCTTCATTCACGTTGTGTTTTATAAAATTAATCACCATTGATCTATGCCTACTGTCACCCCGTCTTTTCAGGTCACCACTGAGTCTTTTTTATTTCTTCATCTCCTCCCTCTGCCCTCATTTTATTTCCTGACTGCTACTTCCATGGGTATTGATTGTGGACTCAAGGAAAATTAAACCCTTAACAACTTCAATCTTTTCTCTAGTTACTGTGATATTGTTTTATTTGGTCCAGTTGTGAAGATTTTTGTTTTATTTGTGTACTCTATGTTGAAGGCTGTAGTCTTTGATTAAGCATTCTTTTTCTGCAAGCAGGTTGTGTCATCTGCATATCACAGATTGTTAATGAGTCTTCCTCCAATTCTAAGGTCACATACGACTCATCAACTCTATGAACAATGAATGGCCCTATCTTGGGACATCCTCACCATCTCTGATATACTTGAGCCCATTGTTACAGTTACAGTATCAATCCGTCTTGTTAAGGATCTTCCTCTCTTATGCTGGCCTTCCACCTTTCCAAGCATGATGTCCTTTTCCAAGGACTGGCCCCTCCTAAGAACAGATTCAAAATACGTGAGACAAAGCTTCATCATTCTTACCTACAAAGAGCACTCTGGTTGCACTCTCTTCAAGATTATTTGTTCTTTTGCTAGTCCATGGATTATTCAGTACTTTTCTCCAGCATCACTACTCAAGGACATCTATTCTTCTGTCATCCTTAGTCACTGTCAACTTTCAGATGCATAGAAAGTAATTGAAAAGACCATGGCTTAGATCAAGTGAACCTTCATCTTTAAACTGAGATCATTGCTTTTCAGCACTGTGGAGAGGTCCTTGATACCAGATTTTCTCAATGCAACACATCTTTTGATTTCTTGGCTACTAATACCAAGGATATTCATTGTGGATCCAAGCCAGATTAAATCATTAGCAACTTCAATCTTTTCTCCACTTATCATGATGTTGTCTATTGGTCCAGTGATGAGGACTTTGTTTCTTTGATGTTGAGATGTAATCATATTGAAAGTTGTAGTCCTTGATCTTCTGCAGCGAGTACTTCAAGTCTTCAACTTTCTGTAAGCAAAGTTGTATCATCTACATAATAATGTAGGTTGATAATGAATCTTCCTCCAATACTGATGCCAGATTCTTCATAGAGTCCAGCTTCTGGAATAATTTGCTCAGCTTACAGATTAGATAGGTATGGAGAAAAGGACACAACCCTGACACATGCCTTTCCTGATTTTAAACCATACAGTGTTCCCTTGGACAACAGCCTCTTGATCTAGGTATAGGTTTCACAAGAGCACAAGTAAGTGTACCGAGATTCTTATTCTTCTCAATATTAGCCATAATTTGTTGTGATCCACACAATCAAGTGCACTTTCATAGTTGATAAAACACAAGTAAACTTTTTTTT